AATGACAAAAAATTACCTTTTTATTTTCTAAAATGAAATTAATAAGTCGTTTTAAATTTCAATCCTGGTAATCAGAAATTAAAAAAAAAGAAAGAATCTAGAATGATACGCCATTGACATATACTCAGATTAAGATAAAAAAAAGACAAAATTGTGACTGTTAGTAAAAAGAATCACTTTTCTTACCACTTTTTTGAGTTTCTTGAATATTTTTAAAAATAGCAGGAACTGAAATTTGGGGAGGAGGCTGGTATATGTTCGAGAGAAGTCTATAAAGAAAAAAATTATTTAAATTTTAAAAAATCCTCTCGTTCACACAATCTTAAATACTTACTTTGAAAAAATGAAACAAACAAAAAAAACGTTTTTTTTTTGCATTTCTTTTTCCCCCTTCAATAATAGGTCATTCTAATACGAAGCATGGCAATCCAAATTTCTTACAGAGAACATTTTTTTCAAAAATGTAGGAGTAATATTATCATTTCTTTATATGTAGGACTATATAGGTAATAAAATATAATAATTGAGATTAGCTAATTAATAGCAATTTACTCCTAAATATGATTTTAAGTCTTTGAAAGCTTTACTTGTTTCGATATGTAGCCACAAGATAAGCGGATGAATAAAAGAGTGACAACAGGTTTTCATTTGAACTCTTTTGTACAGAGATGCAGAAATGGAATTATAACATGAAGCTATCCTATTTTGAATTTAAGATTTTGAAATTATATATATATATATATATATATATATATATATATTAGGGTGGCGATAGGATGGGGCGGGGCACAAATGTCCAATTTGATTTTAAGCATTTATACTGTGAAAAACAAATCAACTACATCAAAACAAATTGCACATATCAAAGCTAATTTTTCATTGTACAAATATATTTTATTCGTTATTTTTCAAAAATTTGTCACTTTGTCCAGCCAGGGGGCAAAAAAATCCACCGTTTTATTTCTAATTTTTAAGAGATTTTATGGAACTGCATTATTTAATCAATGCGTAGCAGTTTAATCATAAACTTAAACAATAAGATCAAAAATCATATTCTAAATATGTATTTTTGAACAGAATAAATAAAAAATATTATTTCTTACTAAATCATAATTTTCGCTTTGATAGATATTTTTGTTAATTTATTCTAATCAGACTCATTGTATATTGAAATATGTACAATTATTACAAATAAAATGAATACAACTTCTGTTTGAAATACATATTATATAGACACATTTTTATTATCATCTTTGTCAAAATCATCAGGGTTGGAATAATAACTATAAAGGTAATTTAACTTTTGTATAATTGCTTTTTTAATTTATTTTATATTTTTATTCTTCTTATCGCAAGTATAAAGGTATAGGTAGTTGGTTTCACCCCAACCACATATAAGCTGTTGTAAGGGTTATATAAAAAATGGTTGAATTTAACTCAAAAATAACAATATCTCTTATGAAACAATTAAATAACGTATTCTCAAAAATTTTATGCAGGTATTGTAAACTAAACAATCGTGCTCAAAAACAAAGAGACTTATAACGAAAAAAATACTTTCGTTACAAAATTGATAATGTGGTCGTTTATCTCGTGTTAGCGATGTCGCCCGAACAATAGCTGAATACACATCTTTTGCCCTATACTTTCAAATATGGTTGTTAACAAATTTCTAACTTGACTTGTTTTTGAGATATTGGTGATGGACCTGTTTATCTGCGGACCTTTAAGCCCCGCTTTACTCTATATATAATGTTGCACTTAATATCCCCTTCTTACGCTTGATCGAACAATTTTATTGCACAAATGTTTAAATAACCACTTACACCTGCTTACAATTCTTGTGACATAACAATATATCTATTCTCCCATTATCCAAAATATTTTTTCTGGGGCACGTGCCTTTATAGGTATGCCCTAGCGCAACTTAGGACCCTCAAAAAAGATGTTAACATGCAGGGGACCGGGTCTCCAAAATTTTGGTTCTTCTTTCCACCAATTCATTATGTCGATAAATTTTGGATTTCATTTTTTCTACACGTAAATTCTTATAACAGACATGATATACATAGATATAAAATACAATTTTTAAATTTTAATAACAGTTTTATGATTTTACTATCAACAGAAAACGGATTCGACCTGAAATTCTTATTTCCGGTCGAAGAATCTAATAAGATAAATATATAATCTAATACAATAAAGGAATCTTTAAACGAAATATACCAACTGAATTAGCTTACTTACTCAATTAGACCCCTATTAGTAAAATAAATTTTAATAATCTATGTATTTTTTAATTTCCTATGGAAGAATCTAATGAGATAAATACATGAAACGAAAGATACCTATTCAATTAGCTGATCTTCTCAATTAGATACCTATTAGTAAAAATAAATCTTGATATTTTATGTTTTTTGGTTTGTTAAATATTCAAATTAATATTGTGAACATTATTCGTAAATGAAATGCGTAAGTTTAAAAAAAAAAACTATAGAATCTCTAGTATATAATTAAATTGATAAATGAATTCAAATTGCAAAGTCGTTTTGTAATGAGTCTGTACTGAGCAACCAGTTTACTAGATCAATTTCTTTTTTGCGACCTCAATTTGCAATTTTTTGTAGTATATATTATTATAATTTGTTATAAAAATAATATAAATTTGTAAATTATATGATAAAAAAAATTATATTCATAAATATTTTTATAAATTAGATTATAACCAAATATGATTTATTTTTACTTTAAAATGCATCCAAATATATAATAGGGTAGAGCGGCGCTTGAATGTCAGGGGGTAGAAAGGTTCACCTCTATTAACTCAGAAACGATACTATTTTAAAATAGAAGGCAAAAGTTGTCGAAGCAGCTATCACCTTAATTCTTACGATGTCACTATCAGGAAATAAACGGCAATGTATCAATATTCATAAAAATATTTTCTTTTTTTTGATAGTTTTTTTGGTTTTAAGCTCATTTATTTTGTTTATGATACCTGAATGTAATTTTTAAAATATTTAAAATATTTAATTTTATTAGATGTATTGTTATTTTTAAATTAGATTCAACAGTTTTTTTTAAATAACCCCTATAAATGCTTACATGTGGGTGGGATAAAAATAACTAACTTTCACGCTAAAAGTGTAAACAATAAAAAAAATAGTGAATTAATTTTAAAAATCTATTTTACAAGAGATTAAATTAATAGTTATTCTACTTATGCTAAAAAATATTTTTGAAAAAATACCAGATCAAGGTTATATACAGTGTGATCTTTGTAAGAAATATGCCCATATAATTTGCATTTCGCATTGGTTGATAATGTGGCTATTATTTCGTAAAATTCCTTTAAAATTAAAAATGACACTTTGCTTCGACTTGGGACAGATGACAAATTTTAGAAAAAATATTAGAAAGCACATTTCTATAATTTGGAATTAACCGGAAATTTTACTAAACATAGTTCGATAGTTGTTTGTTTGATACGTGTTTGTTGTGATTTAGTTCATTTAGTTTAGACAGTATAATTACTGAAAGTCAAATTGGACCTTGGTGCCCCGCCCTATCCTATATGGAACTTTGGTGGACGCCGGTCGTGCAGTGGATATGGTTATCACTCATGGCGGGATGGGTCGTAGGGTTCAGTTCCTCGTTCGGTCAACCTGACATAATAGAAAATAGCCCTCTTTGGCATAGCAGCGTGATTGGCAATGGATAATCTGGCGCACTAGAACATCCCTAAATTGAATAGTTGATTTTCAGGAACCTCTTCTCGCAATCAGGACCTAGCTCGTAAATCGATTAATCGATGTGGAAAAATAGCATTGATCTTATTCGAGCCGCGTCGTGGCGTCGCATCAATACGGTGACCGTCTTGGAATGCTATTTCACAGTAAAAGATAAGTACAACCGCGAAGGTACACCGACTAAGATGCAAGAGCACAGTGCACACAAACTCAAAATTAGCGGCGCGTGTGTCTACATGTCTGATTAGACTTGTGTTTGTTTGAATTGCACATGCGCTCTCGTCACGTGACGAATATGTGTACTCTCGCGCGTAATGTAATGCAACTGCTAAGGCTGCACTTTTTTTATCGGCTTCTACATTTAAATGGTAAAAATGTTCGAATTTTACTAGAATCTTACCTGTTTTGATAGATTCTTATGTACAGGCGGATTCGTATTAACGTAGAAATCATTTTAAAGCAGTAGACATGTACATGCATTCTAATGTCTGTGAAATGCACATTGTATGCACCGGTTTGGTCTATACGTATCTATATACATATATTATTGACGCCATAGCTATTTTATCGCAAAATAATTTATATACAAACATACTCTATACAAAGTCTATATACAGAAATGATAAATCAAAATAATAAATTTAAAAAATATATCATAACATATATAAACTTAACAAAAGTTTTCGCTCTATTTAAAAAAATAATTTTACGTATTCAATAAAAGGCCGCTACATAATATAAATGACCCTGTATACATTTAACTAAGTTATTTCATATACTATATATATATATATATATATATATATATATATATATATATATACATGTGCAAACGTTCCTACATGTGCCAGTATTAGTAGTGAGTGTAATTATAGAGTCTCAAAATGGTTTAGTAAATTGTACCCAACCCTACGTTAATAGATTTCCTTGGACATTTAGATAATTTTTCAAAGTAAAGAATAATTGCATAATTTTTTTTTTGAAACAATGATCAGAAAATTTCTATCTGTGGGAATGAAAACAGGAATTTCTTTGGATACACTGAAAGATTCGTTGAAGTGCATTATACCGGTTTATTTTCGTATAGGGATAGGCTTAAATGTATGATATTGTATTCCGTTCTAGCGTATCTTATATGATTCTGTTCGAATGAGATATCTGCATATGTACGCGACAGACGGTCATTATAGCTCCCCACCGCGCATGTGCAAAAAGTTGAACGGTGCAAACGGATTTCTGCAGACTGCATAGCTAAACACCGCGCGAGTTAGAATTACTTTGGATAACGACAAATACTCAATGCTGCTAATTTATAATTGTTATTTTTGTTTAGTACGTTTTAATTTAGTTATTTATTGTTAGTTAAACTGTTTTAAAATTTATGTGTTGAATAGGTAGTTAAGTGGTTTAGTTGTCATGAAAGTGCAGTTCTAGTAAACGAGAGAGTATGCTGCCGATAAAGTGTTCTTGGATTAATAATCTAAATCGTTAAAAATTATCATGTAAGTTCTGTTATTAATTACTGTGTGGTTTAAATTTGTGGTTTGATCCTTAATTGCATCGAAATTCATATATTTCAATTATTTGCTATGTATATTGAATTCGAACGTAAAATGCATTTTTGCAATGTTTTGATAAATTTATCAGAATTGCATTGGTAGTCCGTATGCGACTTGGTGCGTGCGCGTCGTTTTGTGAACCCCTTCATATCATCACGTTGACGTCGACGCCGCCATTTTTAGATCTTGTAAGAAACTTTGCAAAAGTCGCCAATATGAATCCACCGACACAAATAGAATCTTATTTGCGATGAGAGCGAGATTAAATCTATCAAACATTATTTCATGGTAAATGATTCCAAGTGCATGTCCTTTCTACCATTATTTACTTGTCATTGAGCCAGAACAATTTTTTGCACAAATGCCGGTTCATAACTTTCATTGAGTTCCAACTTTACTCTACTTTGTTTTTAATATTTCGGCATTTGCTAATTTCTCCCAGTATTTAATTATAACCATAATATTTATTTGTAGCAATTGCTCTTAGCCGTTATGCAGCAGATATAAATTATATATAGTATCGTTGTTAAAGTAACATACTATGATGGGCGGAAAATGTCGATGCTCTAAAATGCTTGTATATATTAATTACTATTCAGGCTACTAGTAATAACTTATACGATTAATAAAACTTATAAAAGGGCGCTTAATCGCAAAATAACTAATAATTTGACATAGAGCACTTACGCAAATTATATATATATATATATATATATATATATATATGTGTGTGTGTGTGTGTGTGTGTGTAATATGTGTGTATATGCGTGTAATCAGTTACAGTATTGTTTTTATCATGAATACTATTTTAAAATGCGCCAAACTAACCTATCATTGATATGTCAAATGCGTGTAATAAACATTCTCAACTTGATGGCGACAGTCCGTTTTTTTATTAATTTTTCACATAAGCGTAATGCTTACAAATATGTATATAAGGAAAATTCTGTATATTTTTTTATCTATGTAAGTATGATTTTCTATTTAAGTGTTAAAATCTTCTATATGTCTGCAGTAATAGAGACAATAAGAAACGAATCACTTGAATATATAATTTAGTACATACTCTATAATATACATATACACCCTTAGTTTAGATTTCAGTAAATTTAAATGTAAATTTTTGCAGCATTTCATTACAAAATTATACACTGGGAGTTCTAAAATACAATGGCAGAGGGTAATGGTGAAGTTTTGAATGACCTTCATAAGGTTGAGCTCTTAAGTGATTCTGAACGCACAGCAGATTATCCTAAATTAATTGAATATGGCCTAGATCAAAAGGTATATTCAATGTACTGAAATTGGAAAACTCTGATCTGGATTGTGAAAACTATTCACATTCTGTTTTTTTTAGGTTGCTGTTAAATTAGATGAAATTTATAAAACTGGGAAACTTGCACATGAAGAATTAGATGAAAGAGCTTTGGATGCCCTACGTGAATTTCCTATAGACGGGGCCTTAAACGTACTTGAACAATTTATAGATTCAAATTTAGAACATGTTTCAAATAAATCAGCATATTTGTGTGGTGTTATGAAAACATACAGGTGAAATAGTAGTGAAAGTAGCACGATTGTACATGTGCATGAGATAGTATCATAAGTAAGGCATTTTTTGTGTAAATTTAAGGCAAAAAAGCAGAGCTGGTCAACAAGGGTTATCAACACCAACGCCTGCAGCGCCTGCAAAAGGGCCTGACCAAGAAAAAATTAAACAAATTTTAGATCGGACAGGTTATTTATTAGATGTAACAACAGGTAAGTACTAGGTGCAATCTTTAGGTTTGTGATACATATAAATACATAAATATATATTTATATATATTATATATATATATATATATGTGTGTGTGTGTATATATATAATATTAATATTAATAAAATAATATTAACAACGGCAAATAATTTTATTTGCCGTGGCATTTTTAAAACATAAAATTTACATATACATACATATGAGATGAATGCTTTTGAAATCACCTTTTTATATTATATTCATTTTAATTATTTTTTGAATATATAGAATCAAAATATATTTTTGTGTAATGTGTGGAAATGTATGTTTGCTTTTGTTTTATATGTGTATATATAAAACAAATATATATATATATATATATATATATATATATATATATATATATATTTCTAAGATCTATATCTCCATGTTATTTATATGTGCACTTTAGAATTATATTGTACTAATTGTACAGGACAACGCAAGTATGGTGGTCCTCCACCAGATTGGGATGGGCCCACTCCCAGTACTGGCTGTGAAGTGTTTTGTGGCAAAATCCCAAAAGACATGTATGAAGATGAACTTATACCTTTATTCGAGAGTTGTGGCACTATTTGGGACTTACGTCTTATGATGGACCCAATGACTGGAACCAATAGGGGCTATGCGTTTGTCACCTTTACTACTAGAGATGGAGCACAAAATGCAGTTAGAGAGGTTTGTAGCTTGTTTAATAATAACTAATGTGCCATTTTTTATCCTTACTTTATATGTATATACATGTATATATGTAAAGATACATATATTTATGTATGTATGTAATACTATATGCATATATCTTTTATAGATTAATTTTTAATGTCTTGAACATTTCTTTAATGTTTACTTCAGTATTGTAATGCTTCAGTTATTTGATTTTTTATATATGTACACCTTTTTATATTTCTATGATTATATATACATATGTAAATTAATTTATATATATATATATATATATATATATATATATATTTATTTATAAATACATTCGTGTTCATATGCATACAAAGGTGTACATATACAATATATTATCTAAATCCGAAATTTTTCAAGAACGGTAATGATTATTCTTTTAATAATACGTTATTTGCATTAATACTTTTAGTTGTTGATTGTTCAAAATAAGGTAAAGTGTTAAATTCTAACTTTTTATTAAGGCAATATTAATAATGTTATAGTAATTAATATTCTCCCAAAATTATATGATAGTTAAATATATGTTTTTAATTTTGGTCTGCAAGATGGCAAATTAGTCATTCAATTAGTAGTAGTGAAGCTGCATATTTACTAAATATATATATATATATATATATATATATATATATATGTATATATATATTTATACATATCATTGAAATTGCTTCTTTCTTCAATATACATTGTTAATCTATGCATGTTTAAAAAACTTTCAAATGCTTAAACTATTATTGGAAGTATTACTTACCATTAATGCAATATCTCAGAATATGTATAACTTTCAATTTATGTTCTGGTATGTTGCATTTTCACATTGTTTTTAAATATTATACGTTCATTAAGTTGGGTTGTTTAAAGGTTTTGCTTATTGTTTATTTTAGTATAAATAAAAGCAGACTTTTATTGCAGTGGCTCTGACTAAATTTGATTCCTGCCGTATTTTATCCTTTTTAACATCATATCTCTTAGAGCCCTTCACAATAGAAATTTTATCAATTTCAGAAGAAAACTTCGAGAAAACATTCAGAAAAACACTTGGCAAATTTGGATTAGTTTCATACTAAAATGCTATTTTTTTCAGGTCTCCTCTTTGCTCCACTTGCAAAATTGGGACTAAGGAGATTGGTTTTAATCTAAATTTATATAACCTCTATCATTTTTTTTTAATAAAAAAGAAAATGAAAGGCGGTTGTATTTTGTGTGTTTTTATTTGGAATTTTTGAAATTTTGGTATTGGGTTTTACGAAATTTTTTTGGAAATACTCTGCAAGTATTCAGATTTGAAATTTATTCCAAGAATTATAATATCTTAGTATGTTCAAAAATATGAGCATGTTATGAGCATAATGAAATTTCATAAGTAAAGTTCACAATAGCCAGTACTTTTTTCATTTGAACTCATTTTAGAACTAAGTGTGAACTAGTTAGGGTTCATTATTATCACGTCCTTTATAGCCCATACAAACATAATATTTAAGTTTATAACACAGTATAATCCAATATTATTTATATTGTAACATGTGCTTTAATTACTGTTTGTATTGCTATTGGACAGAATTTGATTTATGAATAACATTTCTATTAAGCAAAATTATTCACTGCATATTCGAAGAATAAGTTTTATTTCTGATTGCTTTATGAAATTCCTCGAATATGTTTGGATTGGGTTGTACAGAGGAAATTTAGAATAGATTTTCCTTCCCTTTTTTTTACTAAATTTGATGAATTGTTCTTTATAGTACAATGCATCGCACTAAACGAGCAAAATTTTATTTTATAAACACAAAATTTGGCAATTTGTTTTTTTTTTTAATTCCCACAGCTAGATAATCATGAAATTAAACCCGGCAAGAGTCTGAAAATAAACATTAGTGTACCGAATCTCCGACTTTTTGTGGGCAACATACCAAAATCTAAAGGCAAAGAGGAGATCTTGGACGAGTTTGGTAAATTGACAGGTAAAGTTGAGAAATTTAACGTTGAAATAATTGGCACATTGTGCTACTTCCAATTAGGAAAACAATTGGAAAGGCAGACGGCTGCCTTGGGCTCTCCTCTTACTAACTTTTATCCTTCTCCTTCACCTGTTTGAAATTTTCTTATTGATAAAATATATTAAATTGAAATCATCGCATGTTATTTTCTTTTCCAAAATGTGTATGATATTGGCAATTGGCATAATTAACCTTAGAAAATCGGATTAGCAAACAGGCACTCCCTCGTTATTCCCAGAGTTCTATTCTCTATTCTGAGCGGTTTCTTCACTAGTCCATTAATGTAAGTCCTTCCTTTAAATTCCCATCTCCAGTCATTAAGTCAAGCTTGACTGACAGACAATGGAACGTTGGTACGTGCAGGCTTAATTGGCTATGTTTTTCCTTCCACATTATTCTTGCAGCTGAATGATTATGAAATTCGGAAAGGCAAAAAGATTGGGGTTACCATTTCTTTTAACAATCACCGCTTATTTGTGGGAAATATTCCAAAGAATCGAGATCGAGATGATTTGTTAGAAGAGTTTGCTAAACATGCACGTAAGTTCCTTTTCCAAATGTAAAATTTAAATTATTTAATTTCAGTGAGTACCTTGTTTCTATTTGCCATTATTTTTTTTACCAATTTTTGAAACATTGGTAAAGTTTATGAATTGCTTGAATTTAGTTTGACAATTTCATATAATCAAAATTAATTTTAATTTTATAATCTGGCCTGAAACTAATAGTAAAAAAGTTTAGTTTGAACTAACAAGCCTGAATCGTGACAGATTTGAAATTATAAATGTACAAATAGTAATTTGTACGTAGTTCACTGTAGATTCCATTAATTTTTATGGTAAAGCGGTTTACCATATTATATTTGATATATATATATATATATATATATATATATATATATATATATATATATGAAATTGATCATTAATTATTCATTTGTTTTTTTACAACCCTTGATCTGGAATAAACAGTAGAGGCCGATAAACACTATTATACTTTTCAAATTCGGAATTGTCAAGCTATTATTACAAATCAATTTGTGGATGAATATTCGTTGTTTTATTGTACAAATTCCAAATAATGACTGGAGAAATCCATTTATGTTCCATATTATGCTTTATTAGAAAAATTGACTGATTTAAAAATTTAGGTTTAAAAATTTGTAAGCATTGGTTAAAGTTGAAATCACATGGACGACATTTTTGTATAATATATTTCTTCATTTTTGAAATTCGACTCATTTTTTCATATTTGGAACTTATTTTGCGCAATTTATTTCATCATCAATATAGTTTTTTGCATGAATGTTTCATGAATTTAATGTATATGTGAACAAAATACAATTGATAAAAATTAAATATGGGAAATGATTTTGAGACCCATATCTTAATTTGTTTCGACAAAACTTGATATTTTTATTAGTCCAGTTTTGTTGATTTATTTTTTTAAGTTCTTTCAAATATTAATTTAGTGATATAATTGTGGAAAAATATTGGTTATCTCGATTTTATAAAAAAATGACAGTAAATTTTAAATTGGCAGCCCACCATTTTTATGAGAAAATTATCTAAAAAACTACAACATGCCAATGTTTGTTCATATATACATTCTTATTATGTTAAATATATATAAATATATACATGCTTATATATTTATATATATATATATATACATATATATATATATATATATATATATATATCTTTGAACTATTTTTTTCCACACAGTTTAAGTGAACCAACATTTTCAAAATTGTTGCTTTCCAATTTTTACTTACATTCAGTATAAAAACTATTCAAATACCCCATCGTGTTTTCAGCTTTGCCTAAGGCTTATATTTAAAATATTAACAGATACAAATATAAAGTTTTTTCTCATATTCCTGTAGCTGGTCTAATGGAAGTAATCATCTATAGTTCACCTGATGACAAAAAAAAGAATAGAGGGTTTTGCTTCTTAGAATATGAGTCACATAAATCAGCATCTTTAGCAAAACGTCGTTTAGGTACAGGTCGTATTAAGGTTAGTAATTCATTATAAATACTGCAAGAATATATTTTTGGGCAAATGACAATGGTGTAATCCTTTATAAAAATAATTTACCAACTATTGTTTAAATGTTTATATCTTCTTCATAAATTTGATTGTTTAATACATACAAAATACTTTAAAATATGGTATGATTGAAGCAATGTACTTCATTAGGTTTGGGGATGTGATATCATTGTGGATTGGGCAGATCCACAAGAGGAACCAGACGAGCAGACTATGAGTAAAGTGAAAGTGCTATATGTAAGGAATTTGACACAAGATATCAGTGAGGAGAAATTGAAGGAATCATTCGAAACATATGGACGTGTGGAGCGCGTGAAGAAGATCAAAGATTATGCATTTGTTCATTTTGAAGATCGGGACAATGCAGTGAAAGCTATGCGGGATCTAGACGGAAAAGAAATGGGCGGGTCGCACATCGAAGTATCACTCGCCAAACCGCCTTCAGACAAGAAGAAGAAAGAAGAAATACTACGTGCCAGGGAAAGACGAATGATGCAGATGCACTTAGGACGTGGGGGGTAAGAGCATTTTATTCCGTGATATACTTTTTAACTAAATTTTTTTTACTTCTTTTTCTATCAATTTCAGTAATTTTGATGGCAAATAGAATTATTTATTTTCAATATATTTTCTAATTTTAATGTCATGCCAACATAATTAAGACATTGTTTCAAATATTTAACTTTTTTTCATAAAATTTGATATTCAATTTTTCTTTTTTTGGGAATATGTGAAAGGCGATTTTAACTACTTTATTTATCATCTCACTCCTTTATTCCTATAGTAGAGAAGCAGTTAGGCTGAAACAAATGAGATTTTATTAATCGGGTATTAATAGAGTTATAGTGATGAGTAAAGAATGATGCATTTAGAATAATGAGATATAAATTACTTAGATGTTCGCCGTCCCATCCCAGCATGATGGGGGCCGGCATGCCACCCGTGCGCGGTCTGCCCGGTCCCAGAACTGCCGGCGCTAACATGAGGGGTGGTCCCATGGGTCGCAGCGAATTTGGTGAGTCATAAATACATCTCACATTTATATATTATATTACATTATATATATATATATATATATATATATATATATATATATATATATATATATATATATATATATATATATATAAACATATACAATAAGCTTGGCTTATATGGTATTATACACATACACATGCGGATACATTCCATAGATGGAAGCGCTCTACATATACATTTATATATGTAATATATATGCACCAATGTGTATGCTTATATATATAAACGCATGCTACATAAGTGTTTATATACATAAATACATATATGTGTGCATAATATGTATGAAGTATAAATATATGATGTGTATTTGTATACTGCTCTATATGTGCCAATTGTCATTTGTAAACAAAATGTACATGCTTTCCAAACTTTTTAATTCAAGTTTCAATCATTATCTTACATATTTTCATCAGTAATTTTATTATTTTTACATTACAGTCAATTTTTATCAGCAATATTAACATAATGAAATAAATTGATTTATATCTGGCTTAATAAATATCGATAAATGCTTTTCAAAAACATCTCTATTAACAATACTAATGCCTTCACGTTTCAGGTACTATACAGTTTTTGTTGTGTAATAATCATTAGCACGCATTATTAAAATTTTAGTTCTAGCATGAATTTATTAACTTTTTAGTATTTTTTTTTTGCATGTTGCTTTTTATTTTTTGTATATCATTCCTGTACACCCATCATATGTAGTTGATTCTCAATCAGTTTGCCATTTTTATTTAAGAACATTTTATTATCATTGGTAAGTAGTGTTGAGAGATATAATTTGTTTATTTGTTGATTTTCCGTGGTGATTTTAGGTTGTCTTTTGTGGCAGTTAATCTTTATTTGGAATATTTATGAATTATCATGAAGTTGTCGTAGAGTACTTTTTTCAGTTCTCCATGCTATATTGAGCATAATTGAAGCGTAATTTTATCCCGGCATGCTGTATTAATTTGAGAAAAAGTAAATATTTATTTTGGTTGAATTTGTTTAAACACTGCCGCTCATTTTCTTTTTTATATTTAGACCGATTTTGTAATAGTAATTTACTGTAATGTTAATTAGTGACGTGGTTGCTTCTAAATTTGTTGGGTCCTGCATTTAATGTGTGTGTTTATAGATTATGATTACGACTATTACGGGTTTGGGGATTACCGAGGCGGCTACAGCGAACCATATTTTGATGACTATTACCGTTATGAAGATTACTATTTCGATTACACGTCTCCTCAAGGTGCCAGAGGAGCTCATGGCAGAACGCTATCGGTACAGTTACAATCACTGCAATGAAAGCAATATTTAATTTTTCAACTTTTATATTTTTTTATTTTTTTTTCTCATATCGAAATAAACTTTTGTTCGCTCAGCACACGTTATTTCACAACAAAATTAAAAGCAAATTAAAGCATCACAACTTTTACAAATTTCTAATTTATCAAGACAACCAAAATGCAATTACAAATTGCGTCCCCATGTCAGTCCCTGGCGGTTGCACCTTTACAGAAGTTTATTTGTATATGAGATATGCCACATAATATCTTCATTTTGATGGTGTCTAAATTTCGGACGTGATTAACTGGTTAATGGAGTCTAGGTTTAGCACATTATAATCAATTATAATCCCATGATTATAATCAATTATAATTTCATGATATGCAAAGATGCATACTAAGTATATATACTATTTTTTATTTCATTGTAGAAAGAATAGAAGAATCTAAACTCTCTAATATGCTAAATCAGTGACTTCTCACAGTAACCAGAATGATTAATCACAATAACCGAAACCATAAATAAGATTTCAAATATTATGCCCAATAAAATTATACGTTAATCAAAATCTATAAAAAAAAAATCTCTTTACCATGATCAATATTAAGTAGAGTTTTAGTAATCTCTACTCAAATGTCATTTTAGGAAGATAGAATATCATTCAGTAATCTCAATAATATGTTCTTGAGATAATTCATCTTTAGTTGTTACTAATATAGGCATTAATCAGTATATTTTGTTCATCAACCTTAACTTAATAGTTAACTAATCATTTCAAAATTATATATTTGGAATATTAATCTGCAATCTATCATAACATGCAATACTCTTTAAGAAAATGTGTGTTTTTAAGAAATATTTTGCATCTAATTTGTTATATGTTAATGATAAACTTTGGAGACACGTAAGTGTCTAAATACAACATCTTCACGAGTTGTTACATTTCAATTGCTTCAGTATGATATTTATGTAGACGATTTATTCCCTCTCCTGCTTTCGACTAATTGAGGAATATGTAATGCTTTTCTGCAATTTCTAAATAACACTGCTTTTCTGCTTAAAACAGTTCTAAATTTTGGCAATAATTATTTGCTCTAATTACATAAATTTTGCAATTTTAATGTTACAATGAATATTTATGAATTATTGTGATTTGCCTACTTTTAAAACTGTTTTATTTAGTAATAACATTTAATAGCTGATGGCGCTTGTATAGTTGAAGCAAAATTTTCAAGTCTAACATGTTGCTTCACTTCTATGCTTTATATGAGAATACATACAAGCAGTATTTTAGACATTTCTAATGGTGCAGTAAGTAAGGATTTTTATATACTTTAACAAAATTTAATAATTAATGAAACATGTTTTATGTAATTTGAAAACAGTGATGCTGGAAAATAGTTCTGTATGTATTGTGTTCCATACTTTTTTTTTTAACAAATTTAATACTAAATGGTAATTGCACCGCTTCATAGTGTTATATCTTTTCTTGCAGAAATTGCTGGCATTAACTAAAATTAAATAAATTAATATTGCTCTAATTTATTATCAATATATTAGCTGTGATATGCTTCGTTATACAATGAATCATGATTGTTTTCATATATTTGACTTTGTACAAATATGAACTAAATAGCTCATGTTTTACTCTTTGATCATAAGATGAGTAAATTAATCACTTTAGCTGAGCCTTAATTTATAAAATAGTATTGAAATCGAATTTTGATCCATTTATTTTTTTATTTTATAAAACTGAGTTGATATAAATTTTAAATAAAACTTAACAGTTTCAATGATGTATTATTTTTCATGTACTTCTTACTACATATTTTATTTTTGATTGATAATGGGGCTCTTGAAATGATTTTTATTGCTCATTTCATGATATGAGTTTATTTGTGCATTGACGATTACGCATGGTTCGCGCGTTGAAATAATGCGTAATGAATCGATATGTTTCGATTTGTTAATTGAGGTTTGACATACTGTTTGGGTTGAGTAGGCTGGTGGACGTGGAGCAACAGCGCGTGGTCGAGCCGCTGGGCACCGTGGGGCGGGCAACAGCAGTCGGCAGGCGGCGCCCCAGCGGCCGGGACAGGCACCGGGGCCCGCAACAACCGCAGCGGGGCCGGGGCCGGCCCGTGGGGGACGGGCACGGGGGGCCATCGCTCGTGGCAACCCCCGCGTCAAGGGAAGTTTACCAGGTCAGTTAAATAAAGTTAATAAAGCCAATACCATGGCCAAATAAATTTTTTGAATTCAAAATATTGATTGTCTTTTCATCCATTTAGATGAATCTGTATATATAATCCGTATATAAAGTAGATTTATTTATATATATGTACATAAAAAATAATTTTTTTATATAATACGTATTCAATCTATGTATAATTGTAAGTGCAAAAGTGTTAATGCTATATTGAATAATAGTAGAATTACTATTTTAATTATGGTTTTTCATAGTAAGGCATTTTTCATTCTCAGCGTTTTTCATTCTCAGCGTTTTTCATTCTCAGCGTTTGTTTTATTACATGTCAATAAATGTGCAAAATAATTGAATTAGGTAAACGGAAGTTGGACGGGGGTCACCAGAACCAGGGGGAATCTAAGAGGCGATACGGCAGCAGTTGGGGAAGTCAGCCACTTGCCCAACAACCGCTGGGATCTAATGGTGAACAATGGTACACCGATAGCTATCAGCCATGGAGCTAAACATTTTTGATTACTCATGTACTCATGTGCATACGTATCATATGATATATATATGTGTATATGTATATATATACATGCATGTTTACATATAAAATATGTATGCATATATATACACATATATGAATTATATATATATATATATATATATATATATATATATATATATATAGACACATACATATATATATATATATATACACATATATATATATATATATATATATATATATAGCTGTATGTATGTGTATATGTATATACATAATTGTGCATGTATTAACTATACTTATGATCCGAATCACATATACATATGTATATATAATTATTTATTTGTCACGGGGCATCTTGTATGGAATAGTTATAAGGATGTTTAATTTAAAGATATTGTTGAGAATGTTAAGAAGTTTTACATTATTAGTCTATTTTATAAAGTGATTTTCAAAACTTTGTTACTTTTATGTTAAGTGCATTTTGTAATTATAAATTACAAAAATTAAATGTTGATATCTTGTGTTACTTTTATGCTGAGTTTGTTTCATTTCATTTGTATACAGCTTGTTATTGTATGCTATGAGCTATTTAAATGCTCTAATTTAATGGTTTTTTTTTGAAAAAAAAAATTGAGAAATTTATGAAATGATGTATTTAAGCATAATGAAATTATATATTATTAATTTGGAAGACATCGTGATTTGTAGTTATTATAAAGTTTTTGATATGATCAAACTTGTAGATATTGTTGGAAAACATTTGGCATGCCTCGTGACTATAATTTTAGCGTATAACGCCTCTTATGTGCCCAGATGCCTCAAGCAAGTGGGATATATTAAAGACTGAAGTGTGGCCCTTGGACAGAAATCAGGAGCATGTATTTACTATGTTTTAAAGAGTACGATGGCATGTTGGCCTTTACAGAGTCTATTCCCTAAATTTTTTGACAAATAAATATTCAATTTAAAATTTTAACTAGAAACAATATCAAGCAAGTTTTAGTATTTTTTTCAATTTTTGGTATAGACTCTGTTAATCTAACAAGTCAAAGCACTATTTTGTATTTTGTACAAACAGTGTAGAAAGTTTATACTCGAAGGCAGACAATTGAAACACCAAAGATTTGTTTAAGTTTTTATTCTGATTCTTAGTTATAAAATGTCCTTCATATCTTTAACAGCATTTTTGAATATATTTATTTTAATGTATATGTTTTAAAATTAAATATTCTATTAAATAAATTTTTCATGATATTTGGTAAATTCGAATAATTTGAAATTGATCAAATAATACTCTGAAGAGCAATAAGATAAGGGCATATATATATATATATATATATATATATATATATAAAAAAATATTCAATCGAAATTTTTTTTGAATTAGTACTTGATAATTTATGTAAATAAAATATGGTCAGACAGTAACTTTAGATATTTGACTAAATTCGGTAATTATAATTAAATGAATAACATCACCTATTAATACTAATAAAACAAAATACTATTAATTTTTAGGCCCTGTAAAATAGAATTGTTTGCAATAAGTTACTTTGGTGAAATTTTAATTTTCGATTGTATGTCTCCGAGTTAATTTAAATAAATAAGATTTGTTGCTAATGATTGCAAAAAAACCCACTTGTACAAAAAAGATAAACATCTGATGCAGAATACATGGTGTTCTTAGTAATATTTAAAATATGTTAATTTCTTTTGCAATATTTTAGACATAGTTCAATGCTTTAACAATGATATTTTTGAGCAATTGTTTGTGCATTTAGGAAGTTTAGTAAACCATTTACTACTGATTTATGCTTACAGATCATAGTGTTTATAAAATTACGAAGGTCTGAAGCCACTTCTAATTTAACTCTTAAAATAAAGTTAACAAACCCTTTTAATTATAATGAATATTTTAATAGCTAAGCATATATTTCCCCTCGTTCTGGCGACTATTGCAGGGGGAAACTCATTTGACTACTATCTGTTTCTGTACTCAGATGGGTGGAGACCTGTTTATTTAGCGTTTTACTTAATTTTAATAATCCATTTTTTGTAAAATCCTTTATTTTAGACTAGATTTTCAGCTAAATTATTCATTTGTAATACAGATTAAGCAAAATAATGTAATTGGAGAGTGGGTTTTTTGAAAGCGCAGTGTGACACGACACATGAGGCCACAAGTTTAGTGTTAGTGGAATTTTGGATCGGGTCAACGCGACATAGTTAGATAAAGTTAAGTCAGCTCAAAAGATAATTGTTTTTTTTAAATAATGAAATATATTCTATTCCTGCAAATATGCATTTTGCGATGTGATGTATTTTAGCAGTAATTTAAGAAGTGATTAATACTAACTCAGCTGTCCTAATCTGAACATCACACCTCTTTATCAGCCTGGACGATACAAATGCAATTGGTGCGATTTTGAAAATAAAAGTATATTCTATGTGTTTTAAATGCGCAATATGTAGCATTTGTTTTGTCCAGTTGATATAGAGCTCAGGCTTAAAGCCAACTAAATAATTGAGGAGTGAGATTGAGTCTCAAGAAAACAGTTGTATGTGAATGACTTTATAACATTGTGTTTATTTTTACATTTTATTATACTAATGAAATTTGAATAACGAACATGTTTTATTTTTAAATACTTTTTAGCGACACTCTTCTCCATATTTAGCTCTACAGATTTTTGCGAAAATAATACCTTATTACCATAACAATTTGCACAGACTAAAATATTGTTTGACTTCCCAAAATAAATGTTTGAATAACAAGCTAAAATAGTGCTTGTGCTGAATTACATGCATAGATCATCTTCATTGTTAATTATTCACATTATTTTCCAATTAAAATCAAGATTTTAGATAAATTTAGAGTGTGCAATTTAGAGTGATCATTTTTATTGGCAATAAATTTTAATGGCAATTTGTATAAGGATTTTATGCCATAAGAAAAACAGACCTAACATTGAGAAAGTAATTTTTTTCAATAATGGTGAAAGTACTATTAATACACACATAAATGATAAATTAAAAAGAAACCATTGTGCCTGTAATAGATTTACAAATACCTTACATAATTCATATTTAAGTGGACTTTATCCATCAATATGAGAGTAGAATACAAAATTTAAAAGATTAATTACCGGTCACAAATAAAAAGAAAGCAACTCTAAAAATGAGAAGAGAAAATTTAAACTACTTTGAAAATACATGATGCTTGTTGGGTATGCATTGACAATATTAATTAATGATATATTTTGGACTATTAATTAATTTATGCAATTGTATTTTATTGCTTCAAACAAGTTATTATTGAGGCAAACTTGTGACATTAATACCTGTAATTGTAATTTTAATACAATGATTGCCAGTATCAGAAACAAATGCACTGCAATAATATTATCGTATTTTCTAAATTTATGCCTAGATTTATTTATTTTGTGGTAAAGAAGATTTACAATGAATGAAAATTAAAATTAAAATTTCGGTTATTAATTTTTAGTGTTATGCAACTTGTGCAAAGTTTATTAAGAGCCGTTTATTGTTAAATGCTAAGTTTACATTAAAATTATATTCTAAAATTAGTGCCAATGATGACCAAGTTTTATATTCATTGCTGTTTTTTATGAGGCCAAATTTCTAATTGCATAGTAGAATTGTGTATTTTATTAAATTTAATTATAAAACCGCTGTGAATACACGTATTACAATTATTATTGCTAAGAAATTTTGACTCATATCTATCGACTGCATTGACTTTGAACACTTAAAATCAAATTACAAAAAGAATAATAGAAATAAAGTTAAATAAAAACATCTGCAAATAAAGACAAATTTTTTTTTAGACATCACACGTTCAAACGTAAATAAATTTCTTCAGAATAATAAATATTTTTCCTTATTATCGTTGGGGTTTTTAGTTTTACAGCGCTTGCAATAACTTGAATGTTTGACATTGAAGATGGCCCCATACTTATCAGATAATATATAATAATAAATGAAAAACGCTAAGGTGTTTCTAAAATAACTGGAAAAATCAAATAATAACTGTCATCTGTAAAATTCCACATGTCGTTCAGACTGATTTTTGGAAATACAGGTCAAGCGGTTCCGGAGATCCAACAAAAAAGTAAATAAAATGCCATTTGGCGGTCAAAAATGATTATTAGACATATGCACAATATATTTTAGAAATATTTTTTAATAATAAATACAAATTGTGTTTACATTTCTACTCCCTACCGATTTTACGCGCTCACGCGCTTCTAAACTTAATCTCTACGCGGCTAACGCAGTTTGATTGCTTTAGAAAAAGTTACGTTTTTTAAAAAATTACAAATTATAAAAAAAAAAAAATTCAAAGAAGTCATTTTTTTCTAATCTTTCAAAATTCTCAGAAATCTAATTTTTTTTAAACATTTTAATTTTCGGTACGGAAAGTTCGAGCAATTTGCCTTAAGGAACGACGTCATGCACCACTAACGGCCACCCCGTAGAAAATATTAGAATCATATTCATATATGGGCCCCCCTGGCCCCCCTTGGAGACAAGAGTGTCAGTACAGTTGTTTGCGGATGCTTGCTATCAGTGCTACCTACCTAATAAATGCATGATAGCTTTTAGTAAATATAATAGCGTCATGTTGGTAATGTGTATTAAGTTACATCTGGCAACACTTATTCCCATTCGCCGTATCCGCTTGCTGTCGAAGTAATTCTTTTCAGAGAATATTTTGCCAAGATAGGTGGGTTTTTGCGTGTAGTATTGTTTGTTGTGATTTAGTTCTTGTGCCCTGGTTTTGTGAGTGTAATAAATTTAAATTTCATTATACCATTTATTCCAGAGTCATATTTGGTAAACAAAATGCAGTTGCAAATTAGAGGACCACGCACACATGTCATCGACTGTGAAAATATCGAGACTATTGGCAGTGTCATTGTGAGTAAATATTCTTTAAAATATACACACAAATACTTAAAATTTAATACTAAAGTTTCGTGCTGTACATAGGAAAGGATAGCTCAGTTGGAAGAAGTGTGTGGAGATGATATTAGGTTATCTTGTGAGGGTACTATTTTGTCTAAGGAAGACTCTCTATCTAGCTTATCCAGTTGTCAGCTTGATTTAACTGTATCCTTGTTGGGAGGAAAAGTCCATGGTTCTTTAGCTCGTGCAGGTTAGTTTCTGTTCCAAATGTCTGTTAGTGTAATATCAAGAACTGAAAAGTTACAAGCCTATTCATGCTATAGGTAAAGTAAAAGGACAGACACCCAAAGTAGAAAAACAAGAAAAGAAGAAGAAGAAGACTGGCAGAGCTAAGAGACGTATTCAATACAATCGCCGCTTTGTTAATGTTGTTCAAGGATTTGGCAGACGTCGTGGACCAAATGCCAATGCTTAAGTTTGTTTATAGCGAGTGATGAATAAGAAATAAATTTGTATTCAAACTCAGTTGTTTTAGTCAGTAATTTTATACATACTAACTTTATATTCATAAACTCGTTTGTGTGCTTTGGGATCTCTAATGGTTCATATTTTACCAGGCTTAATATACATACTTCAAGTAATTACATAGAATCTTGTGCAGTATAGTGCACGTTAATTTATCATTGTAATTAGTTGTATTGCTTAAACTCCACTAATAACACGTACTCATATTGAATTTTAAGTGTAATTTATTTATGGCACACTAAAAAATTCATATGTTTTAAATTCACAAATCTAAATAAATATCAAAGCTGATTCAATTTGGTGATCAACAAACTGTAATTAACTTCCTGGGTTTTTAATCATAGCCACTTAAGGTGATAATCCAAAGGTAGTTCTTTAATAATTCTTTTTTTTATATTAAAACATCTTACAAAAATCCTTAGGTGCATTATAATTAAAACTACAAAAGTGACCTTTAATATTATGCTTATGAACATGTAAGTATTTCAAATGTTTAATTAAACTATATATTTCTATGTGCATTATTGTACTAAATTTCCTTTATGACTGGCAGTATTTTGGTACAGTAGAACCCAGATTAAACAATTTACAAATTTTCTTGTGTATGTACATATATATTTTCTTAGATTATATTACATACATATACAAACTGCGACATAAATCGTGCAAAAATTCGAATTGTAGGTATGTACATACATATAACTCTGTCGCAGTTGGTAGTCTGGATAATCGCGAATCTGTATAACTGAGGTCCGGATAATCGAGGTTCTTCTGTATATAATTTTTAATATATCAAATATACAATTAAACAAGATTTTGCAGATGTATAATATGTAATCTGGACATTGGTTCCCGACATACCGGGCATTCTGGTTTAGTATTTAAGCAATCATCTATGCAATCTTTACAAAAAATATGGCCACATGTAAGTGCACATGTATTTTTTGCTGCACATAAACACAGTGTGCATTTGCAACTATTGTTGCTCTCCTGTTCATCTTGACTAATATTTTTTTCATTCTCTAAAGTGCATTCAAGTGTTAAACAATTTTTTGATTCCTTGGCAATTTTAACAGCATTTATCAATGAGTGAACCATTGTGATTATTCCAAGTAATTTAAAACCTCGTTCAAAATTATGATTTTTCATCCAGTGTCGTACGAGGATCTGTAAGCAGTTGAATAAAGATTACTATTGAAATAGTTAATACTGAAATATTGTATGTTTTAATGTTGGGAAACTTGTAGATATCAGTTTAATCTGTGCTTTATGGATAATATAGTTAAGATTTGTTTTTATTGATATTATAATAAACATATGAAGTTTGCTTGAATATTAAATAGCATCATGTGTATCTGATGCAAGTTTCCTGCTGAATGCTTTTTATACTTACGTAATTAATACCCGTAATGCGTTTGGATATGTGAAAATGACCACCTGCTAAAAAGAACAAGCTTCTGTGAAATTCTTGAAAAAATGGTTGTAAATTGATGAGGGCAGACAGGAGGTTTAAAATAATGTGTCTAATTCTAGGCTGTAATTGTTTATTATTCTGCAAACTGCGTTGTGAATTTAAAATGATTTTTCTGAAAAGTCTCTCACCACCACATTGCAGAAGTATACTCAAGAAGTGAAGCTGAAGAAGATAATGTTCAGGTTTGAAATAATTCATTATTTTCATTGGATACAAATTTAATTACCTGTTTACTAGGAATTGTTATAAAGGAAGGATCAACTTGCATAATACCAGTGTACTCTTCACCAAGTGTTTGCAAGTTGCACAATGCCAGGTACCCATAGTAAGAAATTTCTGTTATTAATTTTATGTATGGTGAATATATTATTACGGATCTAGATCCAAAAAAGTGCCTGTATATTTCTAAGACATTCTGCTGTAGATTATTGACATATGAAATATCTTTTTGTGATGCTCTAAGGATTTCGGCAGGACCGGCATCAGTCGAGATTAAACTCATTATTATATTAAAGGTGAATATTACAATTAACTAAAAATTAATAACTTCATTTGATGGGACGCGAGAAATACCTGCGACAATCTTTTACATGAAATGACCTTTGGATATTTATCATTTTAAATTTATCAATTCACATTGTTGGGGTTTGATTTACTCAGCTAAATAGTTCAACATAATTTATTGAACATGTTTTCTGATTTTTCGATGTCGAATTTAATAATTAATTATAAACTTTAATGTCAATTTAAGTCTGGCGATTCAGGAACATCGTTAATATCAAACAATAATGTCAAAATATGAATAAATTTAGTATAAATCAAAATGTAATTTAAGACACAGCCCTAAACTCGTTCAACATTTTTTGTATGTTTTTTTGACATTTATACAACTTTTTAATATGTACATGCTTTTATAGGTTATGTATTACATGTTTTTTCGGTGACATATATTTATGGCAAAAATTATTTATAATTTGATATTGTTATCATATTTAATTCTTAAGAAGCTTGATATAATGTGTTTTTTAATCTAAATTACTATAATTGGGTATAATATACATTAATACGTTTGCTATGATAACGGAACGAAACTCGTTAAATTTGAAGTCATAATGTGACATTTTGAAAATTGTTTGAATAAATGATTTGAGCAAATAGTTTACAAAGTTAGATCGTAACAACTATTTGAAAAAAGTACAGATATCTTAGTTCTGTATCTCAAGTAAATGGAACTAGAAGATCAACAATTTATTAGTCTGCTTTTTATATTTTTGTGCTGCACAATTACTTGAGAAACATAGCACAAAATTTTAGCATCAAGAATTCACTACTAGCAGATTTTTCGAATAATCAATATTTATGCAAGGATGAGTTTCAAGTCAAATGTTTATATGCAATTTTGGGGTCTGATGTTTCTTCATAAACGAATCAGTTGCACAAAACCCATGTGTCGATTATCTATTCTTATCAATCAAAGCATTCTTAACTTCTAGATTCTAGAAAAGTATATTGCATTATTGATTGAATTCAATTTTGTAATTATTACAATGTAGTTCTATTTTTTGTATCTTTGTCATGAACACTGTGGGAAAATGCAGACTTCAGATGATGGAGAACAAGATAGTTTAACTGTCTAGTTTGAACAATATGAGTATAGTCCAGTCATTTAGGCTTAAATTAGGTAAGAATCTTCTAATTTGAGATACCCAGCTGTAAGTCTGTAAATATTTGTATATCGGCACCCTAAAGTTGTCTCAAAAACTACATATGGTATTGACACCCTACCATGTGTAGGTTTTGAGATAACTTTAGGGTGTCAATATACAAGTATTTACAGACTTACAGCATGGTATCTCGAATTGCAAGGTGAACTTACTATAATGACTGGACTATAGATTGTAACAACTATTTGAGAAAAGTACAGATAACTTAATTCCTGTGTCTTAACTAATTAGAACTTGAGGATCAAGAATTTGTTGATCAAAATACTCAATAACTTGAGAAGTCTTGGAAATTGCACAAAATCCTAGCATCGAGAATTCACCACCAGCAGAGTTTTTGAATGAAAATCAAAATTTATTCCAGGATGAGTTTCTCGTCTACGAACACCCAGGATTTAGTCAAGTTAATGTTAGTCAATTATATATTATAATGGAGTTTTCTTTTCTTAAGTCGCAGTTGATGGAGAACAAGATAGTTTAACTATCTATCTTGAAAAATATAAGTAAGGATAATAAATGTTTTTTTTAAATACGTTATTATAAGAACAATTATTTTCCAATTGCAATTCTTTTGTTTACAATTGTTGGTTTGTTTAACCCTTTAAGTGCAAACCGTCGACATATCGAAGCTACATAAATGGGCATAATGTGTGGAGTATAGGTATTGCGAGGCTAGGTACTGTTGTAAAAAAGGAATGTTTAACATTTGTTCTAAATTTGTACATTTTGTGTTTGCGTAATACAAAATAATAAAATATATCTCAACTACAATTTACTGCTCAAACAACTGAATGTATTGAGAAACCAGATTCAAAAATCTTTATGCAATGTATGCAAAAATTACCTTAGCACTCAAATGTTTAATATAAATCATTGTGGTAGTTCTATATTATTCATATCAAAGATTCAAGAGTAAGGATTATATAGAAATAATTATTTTAAATCAATATCTTCCATAAATCAATGAAAATTTGGTCCAAATTTTTAATCTTCCACATATCATAGTTCATTATATTCAATATTTTCTATCATAGTAGTGGAAGTATGAGACAGTAATCAAATCTGATCAGTCTATGTTTTTTCAGTGGCTGTCTGATTGATTCCAAAAGACTTCGAGAAACTTGGAGCTGGAACCAAGGGATGGAAAAAACATATATTAGCAGGTTCAATATCTGGGTATATATCTAACCCGTTCTCATGCTCTGAACAGGGGGCTTCTAAGCAAACAATCTTGTGGTAAGTGAACAGACTAGTTACGCTGGTGATTTTGTGTTATGCGTAGTTAAAAAATATATTTATTTTTATATGTGCATTTTAAGATAATGCTGAATTTTGGAAAGATAATAATCATAAATACTGTATGTGTAATACTGTGTGATACATAAATTTGCTTAGAAATTTAAATGAATTTTGCTGTTGTTATTTTACCATACGTTTATTTTTTCTTTGTTGAAGATGATTTTGGTTTTGCTTAAGACAGCAATTTTATTATTTAGTTTAATGGTATAGGATATCCCATGAAAACTGTACAGTAGAGTAAAAATTATAGACAATTATCTATTGATTAATAATTTATCTACTGATTAATAAAGTTTGCATTCATATTTTAAAGACTTTATTTATTACAATGATTATATTATTTGTGAACATATTTATTATGATTATAAATATTTAGTGCCTAATGCGTCAAATCCTGCGGCACCCAAACATCAAGCTTTTTTTTGTATCCAGCCTTCTGCAGATGGTTTAAAATGGTTTGGTGACTAACTCCCATCTCCTGGGCGATGTCACGAGATGCCACATGCCGGTCTAACTCGATGTATTCCATGATTTGATCGGTATTTGTCGTCACAGGTCTTCCGCCGGCTGGCTTATCCATGGTGTCGTTTTCACCGGCTCTGAATCGTCGAAACCATTCCTCCGCGGTTCGAAGTGATAGAGTACCATCCCCCAAAACACCATTAATCTCACGGAACGTTTCTCTAGCGGATTTGCCTTTAACGAAGGAAAACTTTAAAATAGCGCGAATTTCGGCGTTAGTGAACTCCATGTTTACACGTCTATAACTGTTGAACGCAATATCCAAACTAATCATGCATAGCGTCGTTTTATAGGTTATGTCAAGACCTTTCAAATTATGTATAGTATTGCCAGATACGAGCTCTGTAGCGCTTTGTACATAGCCGCGAAATTCAAAAGACAAAAAGGCGGAAGGGAGATATTTGACGACCTTATATTTTAATATTGCCTTAGCCTATAAGTGAATAGAAATGTTTGGCAAATGACAGTCTTCAATTGTTTTTAATGTCAAACTAAGCTTCAAATATTTTCAAGGGCAAACAATGATAAGCGGTTTTTTGTAATTTTTTCCATTCATTTCTACAATCTAACTATATCTCTATGAATCAAAACATTCTAGAAAATTTCCCGAACAAACTTCAGGAAGATTCATGAAAATCCGAATTATAGTTTAGGAGGATTAATGAAACTTACATTGTTACAGAAGAATTTTATATATAAGATATATATATATATATATATATATATATATATATATATATATATATATATAAAGAAGGAGGGGATATTTGATAGCTTGGTAGTCGGAGTGATGGCATGTAATATGGGGTAGAGATTAGCAAATAGAAATAGATCACCATACTCGAAAGGGTACAGAGAAAATATTTCAAGTGGGCATGAAAAAGAATGTGTGGCTTGTGTTTTGAGGATGAGAAAATGTAATCTGCTTTAGTAATAATGTCATAAACTAAACTAAAGTTTTTGTTGATGTTCACTGTATGAAGATCTAGTGTTGCATTTAAAATTTAAATTTTCTTAAAAATCAATATTGAATTTAAAATGCTACAGTTAAATTTTTGAAGTTTGAAACAGGTTTAACTGTTTGCTTGGAGGTAATCTTCTAAGTTTCCTATGTAAATCCTATAAGTCAAAGGTCTTATTTGTAGATATGGGATCCAAATATATCTGCTGACCAAGTAAAGACTGTGTAAAATAAAAAAAAAGTCACTTTTACATGCTACCATTGCCTCCTAAGTTATTTACAATGCCTTAAGAATTGAAATAGTTCAGTAAATTTCGGTTTCAAATGAATCAATGTTTTTTATGATGGTGAAAGTTGTTTCAAGCATCTATTACAAGATTTTTTTTAAATATTTCATATAACTTTTATTCTTTATACTTTATATTTAAAGTAAAGTACCTATTTTACTATAATTCAATATTTAAGATCATTTTCCTATTATTAATCTTGAAATCTTATAAGATGTTAAAATAGTTCTTCATCGAGCAATAATGTAATTTGAAATTGGTCTCATAAGATGAATACCTATTCTTTGCAATAAAATATATATAAAACTGAAATGCAATCTTTAACATTTAATACTTTTGAAAATATTGTTGTGTCCATCCTTATTCATAATAGAATTTATCATGATTCTTTTATGATATATATATATATATCTGTTAAAGGCTATACAAAATATAGAAGATTGTGAGGTGTTAGTTTTCTTGTACTTAATGTTTGTATTTAATTTTACAATACTGAATTTTCAGCTAAAGTACCTTGCTCGCACTGGAGGTCAATGAGCAGTTGTATATGGATAACCTCCCGTTAAAAGATCTATTATTAAATGTATTAATCAAAGGTTAATTAAAATGTATTGCAGTTAAATAAAATTTATGATTTATTCACTGTGAGCGACAATTTTTTTCTGTTAGTTGCAGCCAAAGGGCTAATGTAGAAATAAATGACGTATTTAAAGCGGCTTTATTAGATTATTTTAGATTGTAATAATGAAATTACAATAATAAAATGTAATTATATATGTAATGTAAATGTAATATTAATCATGATTAATAACGATTGTTTAAACTATTTTCAAGTAGATGTTCAAATCAAACAATTTTGACTCAGAGCATAATGCCAAGTACCACTGATTCATTTTTTATATATACATAGTAATGATTAAAAGAAAGTCAAATCCAATCAAATCAAATCATGAGAAAGGCCAAAAGTGTTGTATTAGCCTACAAAATAAATTGTTCAACAAATATTTTATATAGGTAAATTATCTCAATAAAGCTAATACAAAAAAAGTAAATAAATAGCAATTAACATAAAAATACAATTTTTTTCTCCTTAAAATCCATGCGAATGATTGCAAGTACGGCTAGTCGTTAAAAATTTTCTGATGCTCAAATGCTTGCTATTTGCTTTCAAGATACGGTCTGCTCAGTTGCCAAAGTGTTTTCTGAAAAAATATTATGGATATGAATTAAAATCAAATACACCGACAGAGGGCGCGCTATTGTGTGTATCTCGATATGTATCGATATTTGGATACAGCCATGATACAACTTCAAATTTCTGGTCTATAATTGTTGTCTCTAGTTCATTCGGTACCTGCATTCCGTTGGCATCGTAACGAACGGCGCGTCGACCCGGCGTCAAGTATTAGGGTCGGCGTCGTCGCATTTTGAAGAAATCAGGGCAGTTTTATGTTAGTGATATTAGTGCTTGTGGTATTAGTGCGGTATTAGGGCTTGGATTCTTCATAACTGAGTGTGATAAGTGAGTATTACATTTTTTTTATGCTTAACCCCTTAACCTACAATAACGAGCAGAGACGCGTGCGATGGTTAGGCCAAATGAAAATATTATAGGCGTAGCCCTCGTACGGTAATCGTGCCAGATGTAATGTGATCGAGCCATATTCAATAATTGTGTTAGACGCAAGTATTACAAAATATTTACATGTACAAAACTTCAAAATACAATATTAGTATTTGGTAAAGAAAAGAAAAAATCTGGATCGGTATGATATGATCTTTGAATAAATTGTAGATTAAGGGGTTAAGTGTGCTCAATAACAATTTAGGTTAATTGTATAAAAAATACCAATTGATTGTGAAAGCATAGAAATCAACGTTATTTGTACGGTGATACGAACATTTTCAACATTTCAGTTTCAAATGAATAAGAACTGTTGCTCCATCCTGCATAGTCCAATAGTGTTCGTCAAATTATATCTGTTTGAATGCAACAGCATGTTTTATTTTACAAAAACTTATTTAATAATTACCCTTTACCACTCGGCACTGATTAAAAAACAATCTGATAGCAACTCGTTGCCGCTTTCTGATGAACGCACCTTCTGTAAACTTAGTATTAGTGTATATGTTATGCAATTTGTTTCACGTGAATTTGTGGACATTAAAGAACACATTAAATTTATTTTCAGCAGTATGTTAAAGTTTAAAGATATTTCCAGAATTTCCATTTTGCGGATTGATTTCAGTGTCGCTGTAATTAATTAGCGCCGTGACAGTTTAGTTTATAATTTCACAGAAGAGTATAATACGTATATCGGTTTTTATATGTTGTGTCTTTTTTGATAAAAATTTTGCTTTACGAATTGCTAGGTCGTTTTAATGTATTTAAAAAAAGATTATATAATAAAAAGGGGTAAAAACACTTCGATAATATCTAATAGTAAATTTTGAAGAGAACAAGTTGAAACAAATTTTTTTTTCCAAAATCAATTATTTTGTTAAGACAAGCAGAAAGTTCTTTGAATCATTTAAATCGGACGCTTAGTTCTCTCAAAAACTGCCATTTTTTGCACATTTAGCTCCGTATCTTCGAAATGGCTGGGCCTGCCTTTGCCAAAATCTGATAAACACTTCTCCCAATCATTACTAATTGAATGTTTTTTAGAACATTCAAACCAGATGCTCCGTTCTCTCAAAAACTCGATTTCTATTTTCTGCACTCTTTGCTCTTTGTCTCCATAACTGCTGGACCTGCCTTTGGCAAAAACTTATCAGCTTATCTCCCTATCAATAGGAATCGAATGCTTTTTGAACCATTAAAATCGGTTGATCCGTGCGCCCGAAAACGTGACTGGAAATTTGTATCCATACATACATACACACACATCCATTTTTTCTGAGGTATGCCAAAATGTTCAGAAACCTTCAAAACGTCGAGAAATGTAAAAATTTTCAATTTCGATTTTCGGCCAATTACAATAACTTACCCTACGGAAAGTTAAAAATTCTACTTTAGAAATACTTGGCCGGCGGCAGAAAAATATTTAAAGGGCCGTATATTATTCGATCTATTCTATTCGATGCTTCAATACGACCTGATGTATACAAACATATGAGTGCCTCAGAGGAGACAAACGTGTGCACAGACAGAAATACGTTGTCGTCCCCTCAGGAATGGAGTTAATAATATTTAATAATTAAAACAGATTAATCAGGTAAACAACATTTATTTATTATGAAAGCACATAAATAAGTATTAGTTTAAAAATGACATAATTAATATTTCACTCTTGATTCTTTTGGCACTGCGGTACGGTGCAACGAAATATTATGCGGATTCAAATGTAAACGACTTTTCTTCACACTGATCAGCGCAATAGTACCATTCTATTGTTTTATTATTTCAATCTGTCAACTTTCTTGCGAAGTTACAACTGAAAATTATTTTATTCTGTATATAAGACTAATTTTCACAATAATGACGTACATTTATTATTAGTTATTTCTTAACAACATAGTATTATTATTGAAATTTCCGAACTGCGATGAATCGCACGTCTGATGCGCGCGCAAGCGAACCGTCCGACGCGACAGCACGTGTTCGACTAAACTGGTGAAGCAATGTTGGCGGAACTAAAGTCATCAGTATTTTAGTCGGTTTGTGGTGGTTGCGACGGTACTGTTTAATATTTAATTCCGTAAGGTTTATGTACGACTAGATCTCAAACTGTGTATATACGACTGAAGTGCCAAAATCAAGTGTTATTATTGTTATAAATTTTCTTGTGCCTGTTGAAACATTTCTTTCAAACCATCGAGACTGATCTATCTCTGATGGCATGGAGGAATCGGGCATTGATTTGGGCTTCGACTTGGCCGCGTTGAGCTCCGAAGATCTTGACTTGAGTTATGCTGAGCTCGAAAATGCACTTTCGTGCCTTCAGAACTCCCAAGATCTTATGTATTACGAGCTCAAGTCCAAGGCCGTGCCCGAGTCTGACAGGTTAGAAAATATACCGAATAAATAGCTTCGTTCCATCTGTATGTTTATTTATATTTTACGTATGCAGCAACATTGTAGTCGCCAAAATTAATGTACAATATAATGCACACATAATCCTCCGAATTTTGGTCAAATAAAAAGTCTAATTTTGAATTTTATTCAATTATCGTACTTATTCATTTTTCATTATAGTTCAGCAAAATACTTCAAAATTTTTGTTAAATGTATTTGATTTACTTCAATACGACACTAGTTATAAATGAAATCTTTATTTACATTTAAATGATTGTCAAACTAATATGAAGCTGAAGAAAATGATCATTTCATCATTTGATTGTAGCACATTAAAAGTTCAAATATTCTAATAAAAACTCTTGTTTATTAAAGTTTATTAAATGACCAAAATTAAAAACTAGTGGTGTATGACATCGTGCCTTAAGGCAATTTGCTGGAACTTCCCGTACCGTAAAGAAATGTTCGAGGAATATTGAATGTTTTCAAATAGATTATTATAAATAAATAATGTAATATAGTCTAACATTTGTAAAAATGATATAAACTGAATTGCAAAGTTGAAATTATTTGTTTAAAGTATATTAGAATTTTAGTCAGAATCTGAATTATTTTCAATATATATATATAAAAAAAATCGAAAAATTTTTTAAAAAAAATTGAAAAAAAATTGAAAATGAATTTTTTTTTCAAAAGCAACTATTTTGTTAAAACAAGCAGAAAGTTCTTTGAATCATTCAAACCGGACGCTTAGTTCTCTCAAAAACTGCCATTTTTTGCACATTTAGCTCTGTATCTCCGAAACGGTCGGACGTGCCTTTGCCAAAAACTAATCGCCACTTCTCCCCGTCATTGCGAATTGAATGATTTTTTGGATCATTCAAATCGGATGCTCCGTTCTCTCAAAAACTCGGTTTGTATTTTCTGCACTCTTTGCTCCGTATCTGTGTAACGGCTGGACCTGCCTTTAACAAAAACTAATCAGCACATCTCCTTATCAAAAGGAATGGAATATTTTTTGAACCATTCAAATCAGCTCATCCGTGCGCCCGAAAACGTGAATGAAAAAAGTTCCATTAGGAAATTTACAACTTAATTTCCAAAAACGTTAAAATGAGTTTTAATGATATTGTAATGTTTTTGTGTTGAACATTTAAATACTTCCCATTATTTCTGGAAACACTGTATAATGTGGTTCAAAATTATCGAAAAATATTTCAAAAATACCGTTGCCTTTAAAAATATCGAAATTTGAATAGATTTGATTAATTACCCCTTTCTTTTTTTTAATTCAATTTATTCTGCAACCTGTTAGATAAAAAAAGCAAAGATTGTTAACAGTATAAAAAAATAAATTTTAATTTTTGAAAATATTTAAACAATAGAATTTTTTAATACATTTATAATAAATTAATATATTAGAATATTAAGATTGAATATCTTAGTTGTTGTCATCCTGAAGAAACAAAAACTACAAACTACTTACATTTTAATGCAACTATGTTTTGATGATATTATAACACTACTATGGATATTGGGATACAAGAAAATTAATTCTAGTATTTAAGGCTATCAGATCCAATTTGTTTTAGCTTCGTATTGTGGTTATTCTAACAAATTTACAATGTTTTTGAATATTCTTGATTACCATGTGGTGTTAATAACTTTATCAGTCATACATCTTAAATGTCAATGAATATTTCACGATCTTGGAATTCATAACGAGAGAATATAATGTTGCTTTACTTTTGTATGCATAATAATTTATTATTTATATCAATAAATAATAGGTTAATATTTTCATCGATGAACGATCATTTCAGCACCTGATCGAGATTAAAATGTTGCTGTTGCTTTTCTATAGCTAATTAAAAAAATACTTTGCGTTATTGTTCATTGAAAATTTATTTGCATTAGTCTTGATGTAGTTGAGAAAGATAAGTCTAGTTCAGTAAAAATAAATTTACAGCTGGCAGTATTCACAGCCAAATAACTTGAATTTTTTCGCTGTCGAAAGCGTTAGTGTATTTAGCAAACATATAAAACGTGCTGGAAAATAAATGCAAATTAATTAATGGGAAATATTCATTATGAATTTGAATTAAATTCATCTAAATATTTCGATAAGACATCGGTGTTTATGCGAGTTTTAAAATTAGATAATTAATAAGTTGTGTTATATTTATATTGTTAGTGCTGTGGTATTTATAGATTTCTGTGTCTTGGACTAAATCTACATTCAATTTTATATCGCAGTAAAATTGTATGTAGATAGGTTCTTGAAATAAAATTTTGATGTGCATTCCTTGTTTCTATGTCATATTTTGCAATGGGATGTTGCATGTTGTGTGCAAATTGTGTTCATTTATAAAACATCAAATATTCATTTGATGATCATTTGAAAAGAATCCATTTAGCTGTCAAGGGTACCTATACTTACACTCATTAAGATCAATCATTAAGAGAGGTTAAGTCGTATAATTTATGGTTTTGCTCGTATTTATTGTATTAAAACATTTTTTCACTTTTCGAAGGAGAAGTTTGTTTTTGCTAGAACCGTTTCAAGTGATTCTCAACTATTTGACTCAAATTTGAAAAAAATATGCATATATGTGAGTGTGTAGTGTGCGAATTTAAAGATCATCTGATGAAACTCGATAAAGACTACCGTTTGCAATGCGATTTTTCGAGCCGTTTCTTTGCAAAAAACACCAAACTGATCTGAAAAATTTAAACTCTTCGAAAATTATCAATTACTTCAATTAGTAAAATTACTGGTGAAGATAGGCCGGTCTGTTTCTTTATAATTAATTGTTCCATTTTTTTTGACGATTTTGATGTAACTCTTCATTCATAGGTAGCTACTGATAACCGTTGATGTCCACATTTTTAATACACCATACCATAGATTGACATGAAATATGACAAATTGATTTAATATAATTGAATGTAAATATAATTTACATAGTACAAATATGTTTGAATGATCTCAATTGGAAATTGTATTGATTATTTTTTAGTAAAAACGAAGATTTTATTTTCTATATGAACAGTTGAACATTTTACATAAATAGTTGGATTTTAACATGGTTATGTTGATTATATTCAAGTATCGGGAAGTTTATATAGTTTGCTTTGTGGTAAAATGCCACTTACTAGTTTATGTTTGAACAGAAATCAAAACTGAGTGTTCTATGATTATAACTAAAAACTTAGTGCTTCTACAAGATAAACCAGTAGTTGATCATTGTCTTTCTGATTATATAGTAATATACCGAAATGGATATATTCACTTGATACCTATAATCTAAACTGAAAACCTGATTCAGGAAACCCCCGCGTAGCACGGTAATTCCATAACACGGATTCACTCTAACACGGTTTAAGAATTGAGTAAAGTTTTCATAAAATAAGAAATATAGTACAACCTATAAAAAGCAAACTTTATTTATCTAATATTAGTAAAATCGCCGTACAATAGCTCAATAAATGTGATGAAACTAGTGCAAAAAATAATTAATTTGATATATATTATTACAGCGCGTACGTTCTATCGAAAATTTTTTTTAAGATTATCCGAACAATATATTAAACTAGCTGTAAGTGGAATTCTGTCTTAAGGCAATTAGGGCATCGTGCCTTAAGGCAAATTGCTGGAACTTCCCGTACCAAAAATTATTATTTTTTGTAAAAACGATTAACATTTTTGAAAAAAATTTACTTCGAAAAAATAAGATTTTTGAGAAACTATAAATTGGACAAAAAATTACTTTTTTTTGAAAAAAATTTTTTTTAAAAAATTTTTTTTTAGAAAAAATTTTTTAAAAAAAATTTTTTTTTGAAAAAAAAAAATGTTTTCTTCATTTTGACATATTTTGGAAAATCTGAACTTGTTTTTCAAAGCAATCGTACTGCTTTAACTGCATAGATACAAAATATAAAGCGCGTAAGCGCGGCGTCGCTGTCTAGCGGGTAAACATTGATACGGAACCCATAGAAAAATAAACAAAATTTATACTTATTGTTAAAATCTCTATAAAATATCTGAAAATTCGATGTGCATATGTCTAATGATCATTTTTGACCGCCAAATGGCATTTTTTTTACTTTTTTCCTTAGATCTCCGAAACCGCTAGACCTGCCTTTATGAAAATTTGATCAATTCTTTATCTTGTCAATACAAGTAAAATGTTTTTTGAATTATTAAAATCGGACGCTCCGTTCTCTTAGAAACTGAGTTACCGTTTTCGGCACTTTTTGCCCCGTATCTCCGGAACGGCTAGACCTGCCTTCGCCAAAAACTAATCAGCACGTCTCCTTATCAATACGAATCGAATGTTTTTTGAATTATTCAAATCGGTTGATCCGTGTTCCCGAAATCGTCGACGAAAATTTGTATCCGCACATACATACACACACGTACATACATACACACACATACACACACACATACACACACACACACACACACACACACACACACACATACATCCATTTTTTCTAAGGTATGCCAAAATGTTCAGAAACCTCTGAAACGTAAAGATATATAAAAATTTTCATTTTCGATTTTTTTGCGATTACTATAACTTACCCTACGGGAAGTTAATAATTCTTAAGCAATTCTTTAAATAAAATGAGCATAAAAGTTTAATAAATGACTTTACGTGTGTTAAATATATAAATATCATTCTGCTAAAAGCAAGTAATCGCAAATATATTTTTTTTTGCAAAAAATAATGCAGGGATCTGGAAGCAGCATAGAAAACTGCTCAGAATATGAGGATATCTTGCAAAAAAAGGATCATGTTGGATAGTACTTACTTGTTAATTTTGACGAAAAAAAATCATATAATTCGAGTAATATACATTACTTCTTAAAAAAATGAATAAATGTAACAATATTTAATATAAAATCATGATATGTAAGAAAATCCTTGGAACTTAACTTCTCTTTTTGTATTAGTTCTTTGTTCCTTATAACACAGATTCGCATAACACGCTAGCTTTCTGGAATGTAACTACTGTGTTGTACGGGGGTTACCTGTATCACACTACCGCTTGACATCGGGCTGGCCGAGATGGTTATCGAATTCGAAACCAGTTGTTTTTAGTTCTTATCACAATAGCTCAGCACCTAACGGTCATTCCTCCCTTTTCTTCTTTTAAAAAATTATTTATATATTTTGGCGATTCCCACCTAAATAACGGAAAATTATGCATAGATTTTGATTATACATTATTTATCATATTTATATATAATATTAGCAAACCCGACGAACTCCGTTTCGCCACCAGATGGTTTCGTGAGAAAGATGAAGAAATTTTTTGTTTGTTTTATATTGGTACAGGAAAAATTTGATTTTATTACACAACAGTAATGAATTTATTTTGATTACAAAAGTGGAGTGTTTTTTAGTTGGTTTTCTCTAAGTAAATAAAAGTGAATCCGCAAATTATCCGTTTCATTGAAGTGCTCTTTGGTAAACCACATTTTTTGTTTTTTGGTCTGACGTTAACGCAAACAAAGCGGATGGTTTCCCAACTTGTGAACAGGCAACGTATAACTGCCCATGGAAAAAACAATGATTTTCTAAATAATCTATTTGAAATTTATCTCGCAAACTGAGCGATTGGCCTTGCCACTTGTTATTGCGAACGCAAGGCGAACTGGAAATTGCAATCGTTTGAAATCAAACGGAAGACCAGTCGGAATCATTGGTATTTCACCAAATCGTCAGCAATTTTTGATTGAATGGTGAAATTCAGTGCATGTATATCATTATTCTTTGCGGTAAGAATTGCTCGTTGACTTAACCAAGCATTATTCTGATAATTCTCACTAATGTTATTACTCGAATTTTTAATTACGGTGCATGAAGTTCCAGCAATTTGCATTAAGGCACGATGCCATGCACCACTAATTTTCTTACCAATAAATCTTGCGGAGCCCGAGACCTTTCCAACGAATGCAAAATTGTCGAAATCGGTTCGTGCGTTATGGAGTTACATTGTCAGGATGGAAAACCCGACTTATTTTTATATATATGTAGATAATATTTGGTTTATTATATTGCGTCTTTATTATTTCAGAACTAGCACGTCGTTCAAAACGTCGACTCCGCAATCTCGTACCCAGTTAAAGTTGGAGTTGATGCGGGAACAGCAACTCCAAGAACAAAAGCAGCAGCAATTGCAACGCGAACAAATTCAGTATCAGCTGCAGCAGAACTCTAACAGATTGGAACAACAAAAGCCGCAAGACAGCAGGCAGGTCGCCGCGAACGCCAACGTCACCGCTACGGCCGCACTCAGCCTCGAGCGCGCCGTGCCACCGCAAGTGTTACAGGTTAGATAGTAAATGTAGCAATAAACATTAAAATTGACCGATTGTTGACTAATTTAAATTGAATTAGAAAAAGGAAAGTTCAGTTTTCTAAATTGAATTCTTGTATTATTTAACACGTTAAAGATTGCATCGAAATATTTTACACAAAGCGACTGCACCAAAAATCGACAATTTTTGATGCGTTAAAAATACAAAAATATAATAATTTAACCCCTTTCAAACGGCAATTTTCCTGAGGGATAACGTAAGTCTAGCTTATCACTCTGCTATCTTCTCTGAGGCACTCGGCCGTTTGTATATACAACAATACTCAGTTCGTATTGAAGCGTCGAACACAATAGATCAAGGTTGAGCAACCCTCCATATGGCTATTTAAATATTTTTTGCTGCTCGCTAAGCATTTCTAAAATAGAATTTTTTTTAATTCAATTTCTTCCATCAGAAAATTATTAACTTCCCAAAGGAAAAATTTATGTCAAAAAACCTGATCCGCTAATTTTATGTTTTCTCGATGTTTCAAGCCATTCTGAATCGAATGTGACCGAATTTGGAAAAAGTATATTTGTGAGTGTGTATGTGAACAGATGTTTTACGTTGAATCGACGTTTCCTCAAAAACGGCTGGACCGATTTCAAAATTTTAAAAGCCATTCGATGTATCTCGATGAGGACTACCGTTGTCGGTTTTGCTTGACGATCGGTCAAGCCGTTTCTTTGTAAATAGCAGGAAAGTGAAAAAAAATTTGTCCACGTTTTATAGCCCGCAATTCTGAATCGATTTTGAAAATTCAAAATCCGTTCGAAATATGTTGGTTGGAAATCGTGCTGATTAGTTTTTAGTAAAGATTTGCTGGCACAATTTCTTGTAATTAACGGTTGAAAATTAATTTTTCGACGATTTTTATGAATTTTTTTTTGACGATAGATATCATGGTCGTTTTCTAGGTAATACTAAAATATCATGGCCCTATGACAATTGGTTAAATTTTAAAAATATGTCAAAGTTTGCAAAAATTAGTCGCGATTTTTTGGCGTTTGTCAAAATTAGACCTTTGGTCGACGTTAGCTCAAAATGCCTAAACCGATTTTAAAAATTTAAAAGCCATTCGATAAATCTGTATGAGGACTATCGTTTCTCAGTTTACGACGATCGGCTGAGTCGTTTCTTTGTAATTTGGTATAGGTGTTAAACTTTTCGTCCACATTTCAGTTTATAATCCAGAATCGATTTTAAAAAATCAAAAACTGTTCGGAAGATATTGGATGGGAATGATACTGATTAGTTTTAGGTGAAGATCTATAGAGCCGTTTTCTTGTAATTATGTTACTGTTAAAATTTAAGCCGATTTTTTTCTTATTGCTTTAATTTATGAAATATTAACTTTTTTAATTTAGTATTTTTATATTATAATGTGCATTAGTATAAATTAAGCTTTGTAAATTATTAACTAGTATTAAACCGCCACGAAATTTAAAAAATTAAATGCGGGCGGCGAGAAAAAATCTATGCAGTGATAATACAGCGTTTTCTTTTCAAAATTTATTTAGTTATTTTCAAAGTATTTTGTATCCTTTTTATTACATAGTCTTTTTTCTAAATACGGTAAAACGATCGAGCAATTTTTCAAGCAAGCTTTTTTACCAAAAAAAAAACAGTTTTGTTTAAACAAATATTTTTGTTTACGTCCTGGTTTGGTTGGGACAGTCCCGAATTTTCACTTTTTGTCTCGTATTTTACTAGAAAAAATATTGTCTCAGATTCAATATGTTTATTTTCTAAATTAAAAGTATATTTTAAATATTTTTAAATTTATGCTATCAGTTATCTTTATTTTTAAATATAGTTTAACTAAAAGCATTTACAAAGTTTGAATAAAAAAAAATACTTATTAAAATTCGATTAGTAATTTACATACTAAAAGCGATGTTATATATTAAAGTTAATTATGTTTTCATAATTACCATATAAATTATGCCGAATTTTATACAGTCTTAAAAGAAAAATGATCATAGTTCAGAAACAGAAGGTTTTGCACTTATGTTAATAACTGTGTTTTAAAAAATTGGTTTATTAAAAAAAATTGGTTTTTAATTTATCCCTAAACAATTATTGTTACGTAAAGAAGTCGTAAGTTTTTAGTTTGTTTAAAACTGCTAATAAATATTTTCTGTTGTTTTTGATTTTAAAACCTTTAAGTGAACAGAAATTGTACAATCTATAATTTTCAATATTTCTAGAACATTTTCGCTAACATCATTTATTTAAACGTAATTTAAATGAACTACTTGACAACACATAACATGTATAAAGAAACAACTATCGAACTATGTTCAGTAAAATTAACAGTTACCTCCTAATTATAGAAATATGTTTTTGTTCTACTATTTTTTTTTTAAATTTTTTATCTGTTTCTTTTTGCCCTTTGGGCGGGTAAGGAAAGGACAGCCAGAGGGAAAACAGGCACAATGTATTTTTTAAATTTTAAAGTGATTTTACGAAATGATAGTTTGATATACATTTAGCTCATACATTCCCAAACTTGTTTGTGTCGATACCGATTTTTCGATAATTATCTATTTGTACTAACAATTTGCATTAAACATTTCATGTAAAGATACAAATACAAGTTTAGACATTTATTAATTGACTTTAAAATAATAATAAAAAATTTATATTAACAAGGTGTCATGTAATCCACTATCGTGGATCTCCAAAACTCCTTTTTGCTGATGTGGACCCCTTGAAAGTTGTCATAGACCCTTGGGGGTCCATATGTATCACTAAATATCTTTAGTAATTTTTGTTGCAACTAATTAATATTTATTTCTTTCGATTAATAATATTATTCTTTATTAGTAATTTGCAGTAAATTACAATATAAGTTTTACCATCCTTTCGTAATAATTTGGCACTGAAATAAAGGTCAAGCGTGAACGTTCTATATATAGTTTTCAAATACACAGCAATAACTAGTCTTATAATGAGTTTTAATGGGTTTTAAAAAATAATTTACAAAAACAGATTAAGTATATAGATTCTTAATTATACATTTAACAACTTTTAATACTCTATTTGATATAATTTGATAAATATGACATTTTCAGGCTTGGTGTATCATTAATTTCTGTTAAATTTACCTCCAGCGGAAAATTTTAAGAAAACAAGATGTTTCAATTGTGGAGATGAACATATTTGTTGAATATTTTCGATTGAGTTATTATTATTGTTGATGTTAAGGAATTTCTGACGAGGAAAATATTTACATTTTAAACAACAAACAAATATGTTAGTATATAAATAGTTCGAAACTATAAAGTCAAATTAATTTCGCCCATAATTAGTTCGAAACTATTTTTTTCAAAATTAAACTGTTCAATTAAAATCAGTTGCAAAACAGTTAGTAGAAATTTATACTGCATATTATTAAAATCTTTACAAAAATCTGATAGTTTTCATGTACTTTTTTTCTGATGATTCCATAATGTTAAATTAAATTCAATAATTACAGCGATTAGTCAAAGAGCCTAACTGATTTTTTTACAATCATTTTACACTTTTAGTTCACTTTTTAAGCTACTTACATTGGATAATGTTTCTTATTTTTTGCTGCAAATTTAAATTTATAACAACATAAAATAATGTTAGTTTAATAATTAGAATAACCATATATCATAATTCGGAAACGAAACTGTTGAATCCATCACTTTGAACATATATTACTTTTGCATTACTACTTTGCTCTGGTGTAAATATGCAAAGCTTTTCCTCTGTTTTCATTTTTTATCGAATGGTATTAAGCACAAAAGCCAACTAAAAGTCTTTTGGAAAACAATTTGAAAGCGTTAAAGATACTTAACATGAATACCCAACACTATTTTTTATGTAATATTCTATTTAACTCATACCCAGACGCCTAATGAAATAATTGAAACTCGGTTTAGACTTTTTTTAAGTATGACCAAAAATTTGTTGATGTTCAGGATGGAATAAGAGCAAATATAGAAAAATCCTATTTTACCACATCAAATTGACAGCAGTATGTTATGATTGTTATGTAAAAATAGCCGCTACCCGGTCTTGTTGCATTCAATAAAAAGTGATCAGTATTCTAATATTAAGATCATCTAAAAGAGATAGGTCAATACATCATTAAGAAGCGATCACAGCAAGTTTGTGGGACTATTAAGTTCTGTTTAGTATTAATAATATATACATAAAATATGGATAGCGAGATGTTGTCTAGTGATGTCGTCATGGCGCAATTGTAAAGCTCACTGACTCGTGTAGACAGGATCGTAAGGCTCGAACTTTGCTCTGGGCAACCAGAGATCGTACATTAGCGATGTTCATTTTCACTTGAAAATATAGATAAAAAATGTTGAAAACTTTTTCACATTCTTCTATGAATTAATCTGGAGTTTAACTCAGCTCGCGGACATGTCCTAGGACATTATGTAGTACCCATTAATATTTATTACTTTGTTGTCTAGTAAAAATAACTACTACCCAACATAGCTGAATCAATGAGAATCAAAGCTTGAAAGTTTTATAGCCTTGTCGTGATGATTTGTTAATGATGTGGCTTTAGAAGGAAACCCCACGGATGACCTATCTCTTTTATAATGCTGACATTAATAGTAGTTATTCAAATAAGTTTATCAAAAAGAGGCCAGCCGTTGGGTTGCCTTCTGAAGCTATGTCATTAACAATATCTAATTATAATCTCATTGGAATAATATTATAGGATTATTAAGCTGATTGCTATTAATAATATATACATAATATAATTATGATATAATTTACAACTGCCCTTAGTGGATATTAAGCTACTATGATAAACAAAACGTAATAAACAAATTACAATGTGAAGTTACCCGCATTTCTTCTACTTTAAATAAAAATTCGATTTAAGTAAAAGTAAAAATAAGCAACCCAACGGTTGATTCTCTTTTTTTTTCTCTTTTTGATACTTATTATTAGATCAACTAATACTAATGTAAGTCGTCAAGTATAAAAGGTAAAATGTGTGGTTGCCTTCTAAAAACCACATCATTAAGAAGTCTTTAGAGAAATGCGACTATGAAGTTCTAATATACTGCTTGATGCAGGTTGGCAACATACAGATATCTATATTTTATGTATATATTAGTAATAGAAAACAGAACATATTAGTCCTATAAGCGTGCTGTGATGACTTCTCAACTCTCCGTCGGTCGGATATTTATTTACTTTCGAACGGTCAGAGTGGTCTGGCTGGACCACACATTTTTTCGTTCTGATTTTTTCATTGATCGGCAGCTAATGAAATTTTAGGAAAAGTCTAGAAATTTCAAGTCGATAGGATTACTAAAATCGATTTGATTTTAATTGAAAATCGAAAAAAGTCTGACCAGACCACTCCGACCGACGGAGGGTTAATGATCTACTTTTAGAAGGCAAACCCATGGTTGGCCTATCTCTTTTTGATGCATTCAATATTAGAACAACTCTTTTGCGTTTGTCAAAATCTAATCACCACTCCCCGTCATTGCGAATCGAATGCTTTTTAGATCATTCAAATCGGTTGATCCGTTCCCTTAAAAACTGATATTTTTAGCACTTTTTGCTCCATATCTCCGAAGACGCTGGACCTGCCTTCACCAAATCTAATCAGTGTCCTCATCAATAGGAATGGAATGATTTTTGAACCATTCAAATCGGTTAATTCGTACGCTGGAAATTGTCGACGAAAAGTTGTCTCTGCACACACACACACATCATTTTTTCTGATGTGTGCCAAAATGTTCAGAAATCTCTAAAACGTGAAAATATGCAAAAATTTTAATTTTTGATTTTTGGCCCATTACTATAACTTACCCTACTGGATGTTAATAAATACATGACAATGAGAAGATACCAGTATTATTACTTCTACTTACATTAATAAAAAATACAATTTGAGTAAGAGTAAAAATAGGTTTCAAAAAAAAAAAAAAAATACCGTGTGAATTAATATATGTTTTAATTGTTTTATTTGTTTAGTTTTATATGTTTTAATAATTTAATATACTTTGAACTAATTATTTCTATATTTTTAATTCTGCAGGTTCGAACAGTACTGGAAAATCCTACTCGATACCATGTAATCCAGAAGCAGAAAAGTCAAGTGCGCCAATATTTGAGTGAATCATTTTCGAAGCACCAGAATGGTTCCTCAGACGCATACCAAGTAAGTTTATATATAGATCGTACATCGCTCACGCTAATAGTTTTTATGAGATATTCTTGTTTACTACACCACTGCACGATGATAAATATGATTGCGCATTTATGTATTATGGTTATTCTTTCATTGTTCATGACCCAAAGGCAACATATCCTAAATATTTGTTGTGATAGAATCAATTACAACTAAATTGACCGTGCAGATTGAAACTGAAACAAGTTGCTAGATAATAATATGTAATTGCCTAAAAATATACAGAATCGCGCCAGGAAAGTATTGGATCAATGGTTAGTCGGTTGTTATAAAATTAATTAGACATATTTTAAATAAACCATGTTTTTTAATTTTTCTATTAAACTACAATCTGTCTTTACAAAAAAGAAGTAATTTTGAAGATAAATGTAATAATTTGAAGTTGTTAAAGATCACTGAGTAGTGAGACCCTCAAAATTTGAGCCTTGTGGGAGCAAGTTATGAAAAAAATTTCTTTGACAATTTTCACAAAATGAAGGGATGATGACGCAATCGCAGAATGACTGTCAGAACGGTACTTTCTAAATGGGTCGATCATAAAATATCGTTAAAAAAATTTCTAGCTCTGTGAAAACAGATTAGTCAAATAGTTCACTGGCACTGACTATTATTTGCCTACAAGATACGGCCTGTCCAGTTGTTAAACTCTAAATGTTTTATTATTTTTTTATATTTGCATATTATGTTCTTTTTCAAATAATGTAATTATAAGTAAATTGTTTATTAAACGGAAATATTCTGCTATTTGCCTTAGAGCATAACACCATACACCTCTAGTTTAGTGCTTGAAATTCTTACGTTCTGGGACGCCCATGCGCTGTGCGACATTTCATTGAATTTGTAAGAGATATATACGTACACATACAAACACACACACACACACATATATATATATATATATATATATATATATATATTTGTTTGTGTGATATTTGTACAATTCATTGGCAATTAGTGTCCAAGAGTTTTGCACGATTCGGCCGTGAAAATGCTGATGGTTTTGTGAGCGTTTTTTAAAAAATTAGAGTGAAATATTTATGTGATATTACCGAAGATTATTTAATGTGTAAATTATTCTTGCAATATACTTTTTCATATTGATCACTTATAAAAATCTTCCTGAATTATAGTTATTTACAAACGTTGTATATCATTATTTACATTTATTTTTACACCACTTTATAATATAACGTTTATAAAATATATGCAGTAAAATTTCTAGTTATTCATAATAAATACTACATATATTAAAATTGAGATCGTTGAAAAACACTTAGCCACAGTTATTGTCAACTATGTCAACGAAGAATTTTTTTATCAGAATATTTTTACCAGTGTTCTAATTTTGTTTTCTGGACGTTTCCAGTCATTCGAATCATTTGAAATCAAAATTGGAAAAAGTATGTGTATATGTGAGCCAAAATTTGGCCTTGCATTGACGTTTTCTCAATAACTGCTGCGTCGTTTTCAAAAAATTTAAAACTGTTTATGTAACAGTTTTTTTGCGACAACTAGCAAAGTAGCAATAAATCAAAAGTTTTCGTCCAGGTCTTAGCCCAAAACTTTGAACCGATTTTAAAAATCTAAGAATTTATAAACTGTTAGAAATACATTAGTGTCGAGTCGTGCTGATAAGACTTTGGTTAAGATCTTCGCAACTAATTGTTAAATTTTTTTTCGACGACATTATTGCATTTTAAGATTTTATGAAGTCCAAATTTCCATATTATATCGTCATAATGTGGGGGTATTCTGATCTAGAAGCATGAATTTTATGCGATTTTGGAAAGGTCGTGAAAAGTGCGAACAATATTTTAACTATATTTTTTACAAAGTATTGATTTATGTTTTGAAGTTCTAGAAAAGATAAAAATAAAAAATTGTCATAAAGTTCTAGAAGGTGGTAATGTGGGGGATTCCTAAATTTGGCACCTGACTATACCCTTGATTTTAGCCGTTCAAATAATCTGAAGAAATATACAAAAATATATTATTAATCTAGATTAATGTCGCCATTGTATGATCTACAGACAAGTTAAAACATATTTTTTCGCAAAGTAGCGACTGCCTGAAAGAAAAATATTTCTATAAAGTCTATAGAAATATTTCTAGAGAAGTCTATAAAGAAGACGCTGTAAAAAATTTAAGTAAATCGGTATGGTAGAAGTTGAGAAATCGTGGGTATCGAATCGAAAAAGACAAATTCGAGAAAGATGCGTTTAAAGTTTTGCCGCGGAAGGAAACAGAGGAAGATTGTCGCGGTCAAGCAGCTATATCTCTGAAAATAACTAAAATTTTGAAAGATCTTCTTCTACACATTCTTCTACAATCAAACTTTGAAAATATTGCGAAAAAAAATAGATTTTTTCAAAATTACAGGCCAGTATACACCCTTAAGGCAAAATGCCACTTGTACTCAGACTTTTTATTTGTTCGTTCTTTTATTTTTTTATATTATGAAGTTAATCTATAAAACTGAACTAGTGGTGCATGGCATCGTGCCTTAAGGGAAATTGCTGAAACTTTCCATACCGAAAATTAAAGTTTCTAAGAAAGCTATAGAAATTTTAACAAATTTGTACTTATTAAAATCTATAAAATATCACAAAATTGGATGTGCATATGTCTAATGATAATTTTTGTCCGCCGAATGGCATTGTTTTAAATTATATTTTGTTGGATCTCCGAAACCGCTAGACTTGCCTTCCCACAAATTTAATCAGTTCTTCATTTCGTTAATACAAATAAAACTAGTGCAGTATAGTACCGTACCTTAAGGCAAATTGCTGGAACTTCCTGCACCATAAATTTTTTAAAAAAGATTAATTTTTTTTAACCTTTGAAAATTTTTCAATTTTTGAAAAGAATTGACTTTTCTTGGAAAAAAATATGTTTTATTTTTAAATATTTCTGAAAATTTGAACTTTTTTCAAACCAATCGCACTGCCTTAGCTGCATAGAGACGAAATATCGAAGCGCGTAAGCGACCCGTCGCCGTCTAACGGACAAACGATATTACTAAAATAATTATTATTAAAATCTCCACAATATATCTGATAATTTTATATGCATATGTCTGATCATCATTTTTGTCCGCAAAATGGCATTCTTTTCTACTTTTTACTAGATCTCCGAAACCGCTAGACCTGCCTCTCCAAAAATTTAATCAGTTATCATCAAACACCCTCATTGTTTACCATTTTTGGCTTTTTTTGCCCCGTATCTTTGAAACAGCTGGACCTGCCTTTGCCAAAAACTAGTCAGCACGTCTCCCAAAAGTACGATTCGACTGTTTTAAGAATTACTCACATCGGTTAATTCGTGTTTCCGAAATCGTCGACCAAAATTTGTATCCGCATATATATACACACACACACGCACACACATTCATTTTTATAAGGTATGCCAAAATGTGCAGAAACCATTAAAACGTAAAGATATATAAAAAAAATTATTTTCGATTTTTTGTGGTTACTATAACATACCCTACTGGAAGTAGGGTTACCATTTTTGGCACTTTTTGCCCCGTATCTTTGAAACACTGGACCTGTCTCCTCAAAAATGCGAAACGACTGTTTTTTGAATTACTCAAATCGGTTAATTCGTGCTTCCGAAATCGTCGACGAAAATTTGTATCCGCATATATATATACACACACACGCACACACTTACATTCATTTTTTCTAAAATATGCCAACATGTTCAGAAACTATTGAGACGTAAAGATACTTTTCGATTTTTTTGCGGTTACTATAACATACCCTACTGGAAGTTAATAATCTTATTTTATTGTCTTAAGGGGGATAGGAATGCAACGTCCCAAAGTATGCACCCTTTGCCCGCATCTGCTACGTGCACGACTGTTCTCAACCCGCCCGCTAACGTACAAGGAGTGTCTCCAACAGGAACCATATCGCCGGCACTGAGTTCCGTTGCTACCAGTGCCTCCGAGGTAAGTGAATATTTATAAGAGCAATATTTTTTTAGGCAAAATATAGTAAAGATTTGAAATCATAATTGGTATTTGTTATGTATGGTAAAAATTGGTGCGTCCGGAAAAAAAGTATTGCATGTTGATATTGGTATCAAAATTAAATAACTTCTCCGCAAGAAGTTAGAGGGTCATTATTATATTTAAAGTTTTTTTTTAAATTAAATTGAATGATTCTGGTGATATGTTGTGCTTATTATTTAAATGCGTATTGTTATTGTTGGTTATTTAAATTATCTAATTGAAGTTCTATGTTATTTATAATTATTGGTGCATAGTCTTTGCATTGAATTATCGTAGACTGAAACGGTAATATGAATATAAATTTACAAAAAATATAATTTGCTATTTGTGCATTAGGGTGGTTTTTAATATGTACATTTTCGAATCTCTTTGCTCCCAAGGGCTCAAATGGTTCCAAATTGATAAAAAACAATTTTCTGAAGGTTTTAGCTCTTAATATTGTCTTTTAGATAGTGCGCAATTCAATCAAACTTTGTATGGAAATAGCTTGGAAAAAATTTTGAAAATTAAAAAAAAAATTTAGGTATAACTTAGCGACAACTTTGAATAAAACTCATTTATTTGTTTACTAAATTATATCTAAAACATTTTTAAAATTTTTGAAATTTTTTTTATGCTATTCTATACAAAACTTTGATTGAATTGCGCACTATCTAAAAAAACAATATTAAGAGCTATAACTTTGAGATTGAATTGTTTTTTATCAATTTGGAACCAATTGAGCTCTTGAGAGTAAGGAAGTTCAAAAATGTCCTTATTAAGGACCACCCTATTGTGTATACATATCAATATCAAACAAGTTTGAGAGTAGAATAGAACGTGAGAACCAATTTGAGTCCATAAACTGGTATAAAGTGAACTATCTGGTTAACAAGATCCTCGTAATTTTTGTGCCTGAGTCGTCTATAATTTTAACGGTTTTTGGGCGATTGGTCTACTAATGCATTGGTACCCAGATTTACAAGCGACTCGTTGTTTCGATATACGAGCAAAATTTGAGATACGAGCTTTGAGAGAGTAAGAGTTTTCTAGATAAATGTTAATGACAAAATAAAAAATTTCGTCAGTTGTTACAATGATTTTCCAACTGCAGAAATATTCTGGCTTTTTATGACAGTAAATTATTTTATAGTTAGTCATTTCGATTATATAATATACTAGATGACCCGACAGACGTTGTTCTGTATTTATGTTTACAATTCAAAAGTTACCATTTCTTTCAAAACCTATACTGATATTTACCAATTAGTTAAAAATTATCTTTTTTTACACTACAGTCTATACCGAAATGCATATACATCCACCCATATGGATCTTAAATGTACAACTGCTTCAAATAAAATGATGGGTATTTGCTTCTTTGAAAAACATTATAAAATATTTTTTTCTTATAATTAGTTCTTTTATCGATATCCGACGTTATTTTGAAAAAAAAATGAAATTACTCCATTGAGAGGGATGTCATCCCCCCGGGAAATGGCAAAGGAGTCTAAATTATTTTTACTTTTGAACTTGATAGTAAGATAAACCTAATTTCAAAGTTTCATACGAATTGGAGCACAGTAAAAAAATCAGACCCAAAACGCTCCATTGACTTAAGTAAATATTCCGTATCCGATGGCAAAAATATGAAAATACTAACGTTTGTATGTGAAAAAGAGGCTGTTTTTAGGATTTTCCCGGCAATAATTAGATTTTTTTAGAAATCCCGTAAGAATCATCCTTAGACTTCAACGAACATTTTAAAAAAAGAATTGGCCAAATTGGTCCAGGCGTTGTTGAGTTATGCGCTTACCAACACATTTTGCGATTCATTTTTATATTATAGAAGATTAATATTAATTGAGTAATAACGATTTACCCACTCGAATATATCGAAAACTATTTACAAAATATTGTATACTTTTATAACCATAGGTCTAAATAAAAGGCCATGATTCTTAAAATATAACGTGAAATTATTGAAAAATATGAGGATGGCGAAAATGTATGAACATAACACATAGTTATGTACTGTGTTCAAACAGAAGGAGTTGATAAAGGGATGATATATATCCCTAACTGTCCTTAGTTCACATCTAGTAAAATTGAAGACAATAGAGTTAAATCACATATGATCAATAAATGACAATAGTAGAAGTATATACATAATTAGGTTTTTAAAATACATCTGACGAAACATTTCAGATAAACGTTTTAAAAGAGAATTTTTTATATAAATTAGTATATAAAGAATCTAATTCCTAGTACAGTTCGTGGGACATCGAAATAAATGTCGACTGTCGAATACAATAAGCGGCAATAATTATTGCAGTGTCGTTTGAAAAGCACTTTTTCAATGTCAGATCTTGCTATGTGTTATTACGTCCTTGTTCGTTTATTATACATTTATTGATACCATGTGTCAAATAGGAATATATCGATTCTATTCAATAGACGCGATCGTAATGTTATTTGTTAAGTGGTGACATTCAATAAAAAATTCGTACAAACATAAGTAAATACTCGCAATAACTAGAATCTTATGCTTCATATCTGTAAATTTAATAGAATAGAATTGACTGAAATAAAACTATTGAATTGTGGAGAAATGGAATTTCTAAACAAATTTAAAACTGCATCATTCTTTTTAAAAAAATTGAATTTTAGATTGTAGAAACTGGAGTAAATTCACTTCAGTTTCAATTAACAGATGCATACATCTTTTTGCCTTGTTGTTGTTGTTTTGTCTTATTTAAGTGTTTTTTTTTTAAACTATTTTTAAGTTTTGATTTTTGTCTGAATAACGACACAAGTGTCGAAACGTATAATCAATAAAGAACGTTTTTATTAACCTTTTTTTTAATTCGACGTATGGACTGCAAATTTTAAATGTTTCAACGTCAAAAAATAATTTATATATAAATATAAATATAAATATAAATATAAATATATATATATATATATATATATATATATATATATATATATATATATATATATATAAATATGATGTCAGTCGATACATTTATCTTCTTGGCTGATTCATTCAGAATATGTAATCAAGAGAAAGTTTGTTAAAAATAGTATATTAGTATAATATCCAACAAGCATAAAGTCATCAATATAAAAATCCCTAAACCACACATTTCGTGTACGATAAAATAACTTGTTTTGAATTCAAACTTGTAACTAAATCACACAGTGCCAAGAAATTATTTTTTTTCTATATTTAAACCGCGATTAAAATTTGAGTCCTATAAGCTGTTGTAATGATTTTTTTTAACTACGTCGTTTTTTAGAAGGAAACATAACGTTTGTCTTGTCTATATTAGATGAATTTTATTATTAGAATTTTTCTAACAGTGATGATTTTTAATGTGTCGCAATTGAGAAAGGGCTATTTTTACTTGGACATATTGCAAAAATATTTTGTAATTATTTTTATAACAAGCTTATATATTTTTAATCCATGAGAATCATTTTATTTATATAATAGATTTGAGATCTATTAATAAGATAAACAATTAGACCATATTAAAAAAATCTTGATTGAATCAATGTTATGAATATAAACAATTCTCTAATCAACTAGATATCGCGCAACAACATCAATAAAAATCGATCTAGGCATTCAAGAGAAGTTTAATGACACCTGACACCCTGACAAATAAAATATACATATAATATCCATATATGGATATATCTATGAATAAAATTTTGAGAGCATAACACTAAAGAAAAGGTGAATAGAATAAAGCATCCAAATTTGATCGATGGATCTGTTACTCTTTTTTTATTGAATTTCGAAAACCGCTGGATCTGCCTTACCAAAAATTTAATTAAACCTTTATTCCCTCAATACAAGAGAAATATTTTTCAATCATTTAAATCGGATGTCCCGTTCTCTCAGAAACCATTGACATTCCTTGCAGTTTTTGCCCAGTATCTTCGAAACGGCTAGGCATGCCTTTGCCAAAAACTAATCAGCACGTCATAATCCAGTGAGTAGGAATTGACTGTTTTTGCATTATTTAAATCGCTTGATACGTGCTCGCGAAATCGTCGACGAAAAATTGTATCCGCACATATACACACGCACACTCCTTTCTAAGATTCTTCAAAATTTCAGAAGATTTTGAGGCGTAAAGATATACAAGAAATTTTAAGGGAGGTTAAAAAAAAGTTACCACTGATTGTTGTACTTTGTTTGTTTGTTTGTTTGTTTGAAAAGATTTATTTATTCAATAATATATTACATAATGGAAATGTGAGTAAATAGGATTTTGTATGTGTATCTTATGATAATAATACAATTCATTATCAAATAATCATTTGAAACATTATTGATAATACAAATTAAATAAATTAAATAAATTATTGAACAAAAATAAAAAAAAAACATATTACAATGCTAATTCATAAAGGTGGCTTATAGTTTTATTGATCGAGTATGAATGTCGGTAGGTTGTATTTATTGTACCAGAATATCAGTATATCTCCTCTCAGAAACCATTGACATTCTTGCACTTTTGGCCCTGTATTTTTGAAACGGCTGGACCTGCCTTTGTCAAAAACTAATAAGCACGTCATCATCCAGTGAATAAGAATTGAATGTTTTCGCCCTATTATTGTATATTTGTTTTTTAAAAAAATTCTTCATCTACTGTTGATGACATAGAATTGTGCGTCGAAACATCTGAAAATAAAGATGCTTCAAAATCTTCACCTTCTTCTTTATTCCTTGAAGTTCAGCACTCCAAGATCTTATTCGTATATTTCAACATCAAAATAAACTATTCTTCGGTTGATATATGAGTATATATGTTTGTGTATGTGATATTTTTTAAAAATGTGTCGACATTCAGACGTAGTAAGAGGTGCCATTGATTAGTAAATAATTAAGCGTCCACAAATGAATAACGTGCGAAGAGAATCGCATAATTACATAATACACT